TGAGGAACTTTTGGTTTGTATCAATTTTGGCGCCTCCTGCTGACAAAGCAGTCTTCGCATATCTTGTACCCTGCATGCTTAAGATGTGACCCCTGACAGAAAATCTCTTGAAAGTCAAAAGTATAATTAATTGTAAATATTTGAAATGGAAAGTGTAAACAAGGGTCTGTTTTCTCTGCAGCTCCTCTGACACCTACCCCCTCACACCAATTTTAAGCATTCAAAAATACAGTTTAAAAATCCCTGGTTTATTTGTTTAGTTTTGTAGATCATAGAAAAACCTTGACATGAATTTCAGTATAATTTGTGAATGATGAAAAACTCCTCAGAGGAGCTTTAAGTTGCTTTTCTGTGTTACCATAGACTCCAATATAATTATCTGAAGTGTGAGTGGCCTTAAAGAGAAAAGTAGAAGAATGATTTTAGCACAAAGGCCTTTGTCAGTACAAAATTTGATCATACTTGGACTTTAATATCTGACACACTGAGGTGAAATTGTGTGTGTTTTAGACTAGCATCCCATTAGATTGAGATCCAGAGAGTCTGTAGGCAAAGCCCTGGAACACTGACATCTTCCTCAAGGTGACCTTCTTCCATTGCTATGTGGTCCAGGTCTAATGCTCATGTGCCCATTAGCTATAGGCAGTTTCAGTGGTGGACAGGGGTCAGCATGGGCATCCTGACGGGTCTGCAGCTACAATGCTTCATAAACAACAAACTGTGATGGACTGTATGTTCTGGCATTTTTCTGTCAGAACCAGGATCAACTTTTTCATCAGTTAGAGCTCTAAGATAAATGGTCAGTATACTGAACACAGTTTTCCCCACAGATTAATCTACTTAATAAATTACCAAAGTAATTTAAGGGTCATCCAATCACCTTCAGTTTTTCTTTTCTTTTCTTTTCCCCATCTTTCCAACACTGATCACCTGTTTTCATTTCATATGCATTTCATTCACACATTTTTGAATCCTTCTGATTAATCAAAAATAGAAATAGAAATTTAGATAATACCTTCCAAATATTCTTACCCCTAAAAAGCACTTCCCAGAGCCCATATCACCACCAAAAATCTTGTACCGCCAATTTCAAAGAGCATCACTAACCCCTATTCATTCAACTCATGCTCAGAGTTTTCCTTCATGTCTCTCAAAAACTAGTTATTTACTTATTCTAAATTTCATGCTGTAAACCTACAATCAAGTTTGATACAATATCTGTGCAAACTTCATGTAGATCACAAACAGATTACCATTATGTCTAAGGTGTTATTTTTAGAGGTTTATTTTCACTCATCTGGATGTGGAAAAATGGACCACAGTGATGAAGCAGAGGACCCAAAAACTTTGGCTTTGACAAGAGGAAGAGTTTACTCTGTATTTTTTTTTTCACCTTCAATGCGTGGATGGAGCTACCTGACGTATAACGCAAGTTTGAAGATATTTATCACATGAAATGCACAATTTGTTGTAATGAAACAAAAGCCACACACTAACGTTACATAATCTCACAAAATGCACACAAAGAAGCGTCAGACCACACATGAGGCTGTAATGACGGACTAAATTTATAGTCAAGATAGAAATTAGGTTTATAGCTGAACCATAAAACACATTTATTATGATCCTCTGCTGGTTTACTGGTATTCAAATAGCTATTAGTTAAATTCACTCAGATGTTTCCTTGCCTCTATTTGTGAGCTCATGAGACTATTTTATGAGCGGCTCTCTAATAACAGAAGTATTTCACCAAGCAGGAGAAAACAAGCCAGGCTGTGGTTTCACGGTTAATAATCCAGCATGACTTAAAAAAAACCCTCAAATGATAAATCCCTGACAACTTTATGTTCTCTACTTCACACACACACCACACACACACAAACACATGCGCACAAATACACACGCAGCATTTGCAGTCCCTAAAGGGCAAATGCAAATCATCAGAAAGTGAAAGTGAGAAAGCGGATCTGAATTCAGTTTATTTTGTTAATGTCATTCAGCCTGTCTGTGTCATTCACTCTCCAAACAGCCTGTATTTTCTCTTTTTTACACACACACAGACAAAAACACCTGCACAAAAGGAAAAGTGATTGTTTCAACTCTCACCCGTGCCCCCTCTTTTCTCTCTCTACAGCCTCTTTCCTTGTTGAGAAGATTTACATGCGTCTTTTTTCTGCTGCTTTTATGCAGACTGTCCTCCTTTGTGAAACACCCCATCCCCTCCCACACACACACACAAAAACACGCACAGTCACTGCACAAACACAGCTGACAGGAGGTGGAGGCGCTGCCATGACACGGTCGCGTGCCGTCCAACAAATCCCTCTCAATCTGCCAGCCAGCAGGCCCTGATTGGGTCTCTGAAACTGTCCTCACTTTTATAGTGTGTGTGTCTGTTCGTGTGTAGGTGCTTTTACAGTGTTGTGTTTTTTTTGTAGTTTTTATACTTCCTTAACATTGTCTATCTTAGCTTTTGTCTCCTTTAATAATCAATCATGCTTGTTATAACGCTGCTTTGCTTCTGGATTATTTATTGATTTTTGGTTTTGAAAAGAAAAAGAGTCCCAAACAGGCAATTGATGATCTTCGAGATAAACACAGTCAGTATCCTGACCATCAGATCCATGTTTGTTTTTAGCCAGCATGTTGCAGTCATCAATCCTATGTGATCTGTTTGTCAATCTCCATGGATCAATGTGTCTATCTAATGGACCAGTCTTCCAATAAATCCATCCTTTGTCTTTTTTAGTTAGAAAAAGTTTTACTGAAGATCAGTATCTACTTTACAAATTAAGTTAATTTTCCTACTTTACAGAATCCAATATGCTGCAGCATTAACTGCAAACCCAAGCAGAAAACAAGACAACAGCCGTGGTAGAGGCTCCATGGGAGGCAGCTAAACGCTAATGTATGTTCACAGGCATGTTAAAATGGCAGTACAAACATACTGATTCAAACAGGTTTAATGTAGCTGGTTCATCATCAACGTTTAGTGTGTCTGTGTTAAAATTTGCTGTGGCATATGACTGAAAGTCCCGCAAAGATCCACCTCTAGTAGACTGACTGAATGTCTGTGTAAGACAGTGTTTTTCTACAGATGCCCATCTCTATATGACATCAATATTAAGGCAAAACTGTTATCATGTTGCAGGGTTTGACATTAACTTTTTTCAACTTAGCAGCACATGTGCTCCTAAGTTGAAAAAGTAAGGAGCACACAAAGAACTTTAGGGTTACAATGAATTGATTGATGAAAATAATGTTCAATGTTGAATTGATAAAATAATGTTTGTCTTATTGGTCGACATAAGTACTATTATTTGAAATCAATTGAAAGGTCATCTGGTCACATAACATGAAAGCTATTGAAGAAAATGTTCCAAATTTGCCTTTAAATTTAACACAAAAAAATTACGAGGACAAATTAGGGAAATAAAGAGGTGTGTCTTATTGGTCAACATAAGTATTTTTATTTGAAATCAATTTAAGGTCAGTTGGTCTCATGACATGGAAAAACAGCCTTTTCTGAGAACATCAACCAGTAATTTATTGATGGTCCCTTATTCAACACCTGACATCAACAGCAAGGATGCCGAGTAGATTTAACTGTGTTGCTTTTGCTGTTCCCGGTTATGGAGTGTGAGAAGACCCTGGTGGATTCGCAGTGAATGTCCGTCGAATATCCAACCTAAAACTAACTTCACCGCGGTATTTACATGAAAAAAAACATGCACTGCCTCGCCTAATTTTTTGTAATGCACACATGTTCCCCTAAATACACATTTTACAATTCGCACACATCTATTTTTAGTCGCAAACGTGAGTGAAATGGTTGCACTGTCAAGCCCAGTGTTGTCTGACTACATTTTGCTACATTAGTACAAACCTATATGACATTTGGATACCTCCCTCCAAATTTGAAAGGAAAACTGTCTGTGAGGGACTTATGTGAATAAGCAACTTTGGAAAATTTAAAGCTGCATTTTTCCAGAAATTTCCAGCACTCTGATGCAGTGCTTGTTTGTACTCATCACACGTAGTCTGGACCAGAATGGTGGACTAGCTGACTCTATGGATGGAGATAAGTTTTTGTAAACCTGAATGGTAAAAAAAAAATGGTAGAATGAAATTGTATTAAAGGGAATACAAGCCATCAATGCTGTAAAATAATTGGTTATTTTCAACAAAACTGGATTTTAACAGGATTTGTATGTATAACCTTTGCAGTGTCACATGATGCAAAGAGGTTCCTGTTTGTCTTTTCTGTTGTTGAGGTGTTAATGAAAGAGGGTGATAGGCCATTCTCATGTAAATAAAGGCTGCTGGTAGTGCACGGTTTATCCAGACAGTTTACTGAGTAGTTTTTTGTTCTTGCATGTTTCAATGGTACATATGTAGTAGAATAAATGCACACACCTGCTCTGAGTCTGGTTTGACATTCTGTATGGTGCACATCTTTAAACTGGGTTTGCATCCTCCCTGTACATTATGACCCAGAGATTAAAGTGATGCAGTCAGTGATGGATGGATGTGCTTTGCTCTGCTGTGTGGCATTTTAACCAGGTCTTTAGAAACAACTCTGCAGCTGCCTCCTGATACATGGCACTGGGGGTTAAGCACATACACACACACACACACACACACACACACTGCAGCCCTCCAGCTCTCCTCAGTCCAGGGGGCAGTAAAGTGGTTATCTCTCTCTCTCAGATCCTAATCTGACAGCAGCTCCTGCCTGTTGCCAGGTTACCCCTTGGGCGTCAATCTCCATTTAAATCCTCTTTGCTCTCCCGCCCACCCATCAACACCGGCCCAGTACACCCACCACCACTCCCTACACCCCTCCCTCACATCCCCTGCCCTGAGGATCCACTCTCTCCTCCCTCACCCCTCCAACCCCCCTTAAGTCTGAGTGTGGCATCAGGCTGCATTCAAACATGGCAGCAGGTGACACATGGATGCTTTGGAATCGGCTGCCATTCAGGAAAAAGGTGGATTGTGTGTACTTTTTACCACTTAAACTTTCATGGTAGAGTTTGTTTTGAATGCTCTGTACTCTTGCTGGTTCCCAGTGTGCTTGGAGAAGGGGGGTATGGTTGTCTGAGTAGGTTTGTTCGGGAGCTGGGTGGCAGACAGAGGGTCTGGTAGCTGAAGGAGGATGTGGGTAGAGTCTGCCCAGACAGATGGAGGGAAACGATGGAGAGATGGAGCGATACAAGAGGACTGAGTCTGAGAGAATGTTCTTCTCCTCCTTCTCTCTGTCCTGACATAGCTTGTGAATGGACCTCCATTGTCTGTGTTAGGACTTCTTGGATGTTGACCCTTCTCCAGAGGTCAGAAGGGGCACAGTGTAGATGAGAGAGCGCATAATTGCAGCATAAACACAAAGAGTGGCCCACTGAGAGGCCCAGACACTGGGCCAGTTTGACCCCTACAAGGCTGTACGATAATGTGTCACTGTGTGTGCTGTTTGTTTGATCTATTATTTGTTGAAAACTTCTTATGATAGAAGGCAAAAGAAGTTACTGCATTGTTTTCCGAGTAGAGGAGGGAAAGTTCTGTTCAAAAGTAGATGGACAGACAATTTGGCTGGTAAACAGATAAATGGATAGACATACAGTTGAATTAGTGGCATTTACTCCCATGGACCCTGTAATTGTTTGCACCGTGTTCTTTTTTGATAAATCGATTGTTCAGGATTGTTATGCCATCCTTTTCAGGTAAATTTCATGGCAATCAGTTTTGTGGTACATCTCCTCACACTACAAAAGTGTTTGAGACAGATATAGTGGCATATTTACAGTGACATATACTATTTCAGTGTAATCATTGAAGGTGACAGGACAGTGCAGAGCTTCATGTGTGTGAAGCTTGTGCTGCTTTTTTACTCATCGTGCCTTTGGGCTTGCTCCTTGCCAAAATACCATTAAATAGTTTGACATAACCAATAGTATACTTTTGTGGGGTTCTGTGTAGAAGTACACAGACAGAGTAGTGATGGTGCTAAATTACAGTGCTGGGGTAGAGTTAGGGTGACCATATTCTGAATCCCCAAAAAGAGGACACGCAGGGGCGGAGTTACGGAGTTACGGAGTTACGGAGTTGTGCGTAGTTAATTTTGAGAGTTTTCTGGGTCGGGTTAAGTGTTTTTTATGCGCTTCTAACTCAGCAAGTTCATGCAACAGAAACTCATAACTTCCATACAAAACCCCGGACATTTGAAAGATTCTATAAACTTAACAAGACAAAGCCAATCTTTAATAATAATATAATAATCTTTCTCCCTCTGTTGAACATTTCCTTGAACATACCCTTTCACCATTTGTTTATTATCAACATTGCTGTACAGCTGTTGGTGATAAAAAGATGCAAGGGAAGCTACTAAATTAAGACAAGAGAAGAGGATGAGGTGTGTGTGTGTGTGTGTGTGTGTGTGTGTGTGTGTGTGTGTGTTTTGCAGTGGAGTTGACATTGAGCCATCCTTGGCATTTCAAACTTGGGCATTGTGCCTATAGGTCCCAGTGGAGTTGAGGTTTTGTGTGTGTGTGTGTGTGTGTGTGTGTGTGTGTGTGTGTGTGTGTGTGTGTGTGTGTGTGTGTGTGTGTGTGTGTGTGTGTGTTGACATCTCTGCTGTGTTTGGGTGGATCTGCAGTCTAGTTGGCTCTCTCTGGTCAGTGTGTCAGTCAGTGTGTGTCGTGTGAGAGGGCACGCTCGTTGCATCTGAAACCTCCGGGCTGACGGCCGGCGGGCACGGCTCAGCCACTGCTGCTCCACCTGGCTGATTGATACGGGCCTGTTTGAAGTCCTCTCAGGGAGAAAGAGCTCTATTCATGAGTTGCTGGTCCCTCCACACAGCCTGCCCCACCTCTCACTGCTGTCCCTCCACTCTGTTAACAGCTGAAATGTTACCCTGCTCATAGAGGTATGAGGCTGAGGTGGACATACAGCCACATGATAGACAGCCTCAAAATGATCATCTGTGGAGCTCCTAGCTTTAGTGTTCAGCTCTCTTTATTGAAACTGAGTGTAAGTCATGTGGAGAGAAGGCCAACCCTAACTCTTGTGTCTCTGGTATTCACCATGTAATGTACCTGTTGACTATCTTACTGTCTTGAGTTATTGAGAAGCTTTTTTTTACACCCTTTCTTCATCTGTCAAGATTTTGTTTACTACCAGGCCTCCTAGCACCCATGCTATTCAACTTTATGTTCAGAGCACAGTGCAAACACCGGAGCATGTGAAGAACGCTTAGCTAGTTTCAGTTTGATTGATTTGTATCATAGACTGTACATACTATGGACAACTTGGTTCCGCCTTCCGCCAGTATATGGATTTGAAGCCAAAAAGAGCTCTGTATTTCCACAATTTTTCTCCATTTCCTGAAACCAACATTGTGCAGTAGTGCTGTACGCACTCCAGCACTTACGCAGTAGCATTGTACGCATTTGTTGGGAGAGTCGCTGTGATAACGTTCAGCTCAAACTGTGTATCCCCTGGGTGAGCTACACAATCTTCGTACGCCCATAGGCTGTATCAAGTGTCAATAATAGAAAACATGAACCCCCTAATAACTTTAAAAATGGAGCTGCACAGAAAAAAGAGGACTCCAATACAAACCAGTCTTACAGTAACTATATGTCAACATTGCGTGTAATTAATTTCTAAAGTTTGTCCACAACTCCATAAGCTTTGCAGACAGAGGCAGGATTTATGACCTATACTGCAGCCCGTTACCAGAATGTGCTGTTCTTGGGGTGGCTTTACCCAGCAAGGAGGCAGACAACATCCATTCTATATTCAGTCTATGGTTTGTATACATGACAGAGAGAATCAATCCCCAACTGCATAATTCAGGTTAGGTAGTCCAACTATAAGAAGTTCCATTAATGTGATTTCAGTTAGACTAACGTGTTTACATGATTTTAAAAAGTTCACTCAAAGGTGGACTTTTGCAGTTAACTCATGCTTGTCTAAACTGTCAGCTGCGCCACATTAGTAACATTTTTATACAAGCTAGGCTAACTGGCTGCTGGCCATCCAACTCACTAGCCATGTTTACATGAGCAAAATTTCTCGAACAAATTAAAAATTTGTGGGATCAGAAATTCTGAATCCACTGTTTACATGGGTGCAAAATCAAATAATCCAATCAAGACGTGCGTATACATGCAACAAGCTTTTTTAAGGTTAGAAGCATTTGGACATGCGCAGAGTTGTCTAATTTCACCAAAACAACTGCAGAAGAAGAATTGTATTTACACCTGTGCTGTTAACAAACCAACAAACGCGGTAGTGGCTCACATCATCCGATTCAGAATGGACCTGAACCAGGTTCTGAGAGAGGTTGTATTGCACCGAGCATTCATGATCATCAAGCAAGCCCAGCAGCACATTCTGATCCTGCGTAACATGAGGAGACTGTATACAGCCAAAAACTCGTGTCAGACACTGACTTAATTGCTCTTGGATCCCACCATGTTTACACCTTGTCACTAACAGTGGAAATACGTCACAATGTCGTAGGGTACACATGTGCAGTCAGGTTAGTTTTGCCTGAGCAGAGAGTCACGATTAGAATAAGTGTTTACGGTTGGCATAAACCACCCCTCTTGATCAGAATGCAATTTCTTTCCAATTGAGCCGAATTGTATCAGACTTCCGATTAACATGTTTAGATGATGCATTTTTATTCTGAACAGGCCTTTATTCCGAATATTTGTGCCCATGTAAACGCAGCTATTGTAAGGAATTGAACGTATCAAAATATGACGACCAAAATCAAATTATCCTTTAAAAGACAACATTGATGAGCTGTCACTCAAGGCCTTTGACAAAATCCCCCAATAATTTAAATTGGGACGATGTTTTAAGTGTTGTATGCAAATTTTGTTGCTGTGTTTTTGTGTGTTAATGTGCATGCACACAGTCATGCATGCATTACCCTAATGTTGTCATCTTGTATTGTGCACATATGAGTAGAGGTCCCTTGCAATTTTCTATCAGCAAGATCTGATGTTGACAGGCAGGGTCGGGATCAGTTCCTGGCCCTCTCAGCACGTTTTGTCTGTGGGATCCCTGGAATGTGCAGGAATGCGGACTCAAGCAGGTGGAGAGGTCCTCCTCAGAGACAAACACCCAAACACAACCCTGAATCCTCATCTCCTTCCCCCTCTTTCTCATCTCTCTGCCTGGTCCGTTTCTTCTAGGCCTTGCCTGACAATTTGTCTGAAGCGTGAATGTCAGGAAACAGCTCTCATCTCCTCTTTTTTTATCCATCAGACAAAACGTATGGGAGTAGTCATCTGGAGAGAAAAGAATAGTTTAACATGAGAATGTGTACTGTCCGGATATTTCAGTTGAGAGTGTGGTCTCTTGTTTCCAGCACTGGTTCATTTAACCTAGCCGAGAAAAAAGTCAGACAGGTATTCTTCCAGGTTAAACTGGAGAAGTAACCCTCTGGAGCAGAGCTGGATGAATTAAAAAAAAAAACCTTTTACTGTCAGCTCCCCTCGTCCCCCTCCACCCTCTGCCCTCCTCTCTTCCCTTCACTCAGATTCTTATCGTCTGTTAGATTATTGCTTCCTGTAGAGACCTGGAGCTGCCTCTGCTCTCTGTTTTATGGCCCTCATGTTCTTGAATGAAGCACATGGCCAAATTATTACAATCCACACAATGAAGGCAACAAAGGAGCCAGTATTAAAACAGGTGACAGTGACATTTTAGGATGCACCAACAGTATATGTTTGACAGTTTTGAATTTTGAATTTGACAAATTTCTCATTTAATTAATCCCTTAATTTCAACACTTAATGCATTTTCATGCTTTATACTTTTTTCTGGTCTTTCCTTTTTATGCATTGTAGTTGATTTGTCATTTTTCTATTTAGAGTCTGAGATTGTGCAGAGAAACTCAAGACTTTGCAGTGTAGTAGTGTATTGTTTACTGTTTTTGTAGTATAAGAGACAGACCGATTAATCTGGACAATTGCCGTTGGCCCTCACAAGACTGATATTACTGTTTCCTTTTCTAAACACATTTTCCTCAAATGACAGCAAATCTAAAACAATCACTAGCTTGTGTTTGATATAGATTTTCGTCACGATGTACAGACAGAAGCTGGTATACGAATCAGACATTTTCTGGAGTCTGTAACTTAATCCAATATAAAAAATACTCATCAATTGATTTAAAATCCATCTAAAATATATTTCTAGTCAAGATAGCAACTTTTGTTAGATTTAAATGTTCATGGATGGGTTTCTACATGATTTCTCTGTTTAATTTTACCATGTAGTTTTTATCTTTCTGAATAATTTCACAAAAGGGATACCGTTTGATTTTCGAAAAAAGTTCAAACCATCTTCACGACTTCCACTGAATTCGACAAAGTGTTTAGTTTTATAAAGTTCTTGCTTGTACCATCTTTTCTCGCCATCCTGCTAGCCACCAGGAAGGAAGTTGAGGTCAGTTGTGTTAATGTTGGTACTATATTATTTGGGTAATTTACTAATTAATATACCACGGTTTTCTTTTATCTGCAGGATTGTGACCTAATAAGAAAAGCTGTTAAATGTTGTGCTGCTAGACTGCTTGTCTCTCCATGTATTCAGCATTTTTTGGGCTCACTTCCTTTTTTGCTTCTTTTTTTCAATTCCAGCTGAGTTGATAGCATAATAAAGAAAAAATGAAGCTATTTTCCAACACAGACCAGTAATTTTATCTTATATCATGGCGCGAAGACAGCATAAGACCCCAAAACTACTGCTCTTGGGCATCCTTTTAACAAATTTTTGTCTTTTCGTTTGAATTTTTCAACACAAAGTTAAACACACTGTTCGAATAAAAAACACATGTCTACATCATCCTGTCCTTCATCAGCCTGACAACAGTACAGTGTGCCAGCCATCATCCTCCTCAGTCCCATTAGTGCATAATTTCTGGGGTAACCAGAGCCACCAAGACCCCCTTTGACACCCACTCCCACACCCCCTGTCCTGTAAGACTTCTGTTCCCTCTGATTAGATTTGTCTCTTCAAATTGAATCTTACTCTGAAACAAACACCCTCTTACTCACACAAGGATACACACAAATACTCATAAACATGACACTGAAACTCTTAGTTGATTGTTTATGCGGTGACTCTTATTCTCAGTAAAAGCTGCTAATAGGAGCAAATTACTGCCAACAACTTGGAAATATCGAGTGCCCGACTGCTCAGCTGTAATGGAGTTAGTGCTGACCAATCTGATTATGGGCCTCAATGGAGCAAGGAGAAGGATGGATGGGATTGGGGGAGGAGGTGAAGGGGTTGGCCTCAGGGGAATGGGGAGTGCAGGGTACCTGGCTCCTGGAAGCTAACTGTTGCTGTTTGGCTTTAATTGCGTTTGGAATGGACTGTGGGTTAGAGTTGCTCCTGCCATCCAGACTGGAGCAGGAGACGTGATCTGATCAGTCTTTATTTGCAAACATGAAACATCTGCTGTGCTCAGGGCTGCTTTTGTCTCTCTTTAAATATCACAACAATTACTGCTACAAGTCTTCTGATCACTCACCCCGTACAGCATTGCAAAAAAAAAAAAAAAAAAAAAAAACAGCTCAGAGAAGGATTGTGTAGGTCCCATGATGCCAAACTTTGCAGCAGCTTTTAAAACAAGTTACAATGCGAGATGCAATCTATTGAGGCTTTATTGTCTTGGGAGGACACAGCGCACCCACTGTGTCCTTTAGAGGAAAATCCTCTAATGCAAGTGATCAAGAGACTGAGCAAGTTGTTTGTCTTCTACATCACCTCTGGTTAATGTTGATGACGAGAAGTGAGAAAAAAGGAAACTTAAGTGTGCCTATTCCACATCTTTTTAAATGTACAATAAATAACCTCTTGTATTTATGTGTTAGAAATTCTGCTCATTAGTTGGTTGCTCCACCATAAAAAAAATCACAGACAAGAGACGAGCATATATCTCCTCAGTAGCCACATTTACATGAACACAATTTCTTGATCTGATTAAAAATTTGAGAGATAAGATAATCTGAATCCACTGTTTATATGGGTGCAAAATTAAATAACTCAATCATGACGTGCGTATACATGCACCAAGCTTTATTCAGATTAGAAGCATTTGGACATGTGCAGAGTTGTCTAATTTTGCTAAAACAACCGCAGAAGAAGAGTTGTATTTACGCCTGTGCTGTCAACAAACCAACAAATGCGGTAGTGGTTCACTCAATCCCATTCAGGAGTTTTCCCCTGCTAAATGTTGTCATGAGGTGGATCCCTTGCGTACTTATTTTACTGTTCTGTCAATGGTTGCTCTGTGCGTGCAGATGTGACATCATTTCGCTCTATGTACACCTTGTTATGTTACCAGAGGAGCAGACACAGCACCTACAGTTGTGTCTTATGCCAGAGTTTTAACGATGAAACCCTCTGGCCTCGATAAATAAGCCAAAGGCTAAAGAATGCAGATCGGAAATGTGTCACGGTGACGTAGGGTACACATGTGCAGTCAGGTTAGTTTTGCCTGAACAGAGAGTCACGATCGAATATATGTTTACAAGTTTCTGAATAACGATCGGCATAAACCACTCCTCTTGATCGGTATCCAATTTCTTTCCAGTTGAGCCGAATTGGATCAGAATCCTCCAATTGACATGTTTACATGATGCATTTTTATTCCGACCGGTCATTTATTCAGATTATTTATGCCCATGTAAATGCAGCTACTGTAGGATCACTCTGAGATTAGGAATTACTTTCATTCAAAGAGTTTAAGACTATTCTGAGGAAAATTTGGAGCTAAGCCTGTGATTGGCATCACAAGGCACCAGGAAGCGGATAACTAAAAAATGTCTTCAAGAAAACATGGCAACATATTTTCAAAAATACTTTAAGTATTGGGTTTAGTGTTGTGGATTAACTGTGCAGAACTATACATGTATTTTCATGACTCAAATATGTTAAAAATCAAGTGCAAGTAATTTTGATCGGGTACATGTTGAGACTTGTGAGGAAAAGAAGGTGATTGGTCAAATTTGCAGAAATAAATGGCAAGATCCCAAAAATGATCCAAGGACTAGTTAAAGATTGTGACATCTTAGAACACTAATAAATGATATGTAAGACCTTAAATGTGGGATATTGACGTTTAATTGTAGAGGTGAGTAGCTCTCCTTTTCAGGGAGATCCAACGTGTACAAGTCCATTTAATCTTTTTTACAGTCTCCTCTTTACCAGGTGATAACATGAATATTTACAGAAATAAGCAAAACCTTGACCGGGAGAGAAAGTCCTGGTTGTTTCCTCTGTGTTACCAGAATAGTACCATATTATCTGAAGTATTTAAGTTTTTTTACTTCTCCAGGAGGTAAAACATTAGACTGTCAGAAGTATCTGCTCTTGGAAAAAAAAAAAAAACTCTTCCTTTAAAGCTTATATATTCCCGGCAGAATTGGACTACTCCTGTTGCACTAAAATGCTTGAGATGATTGAAAGTTTTATTGAGGTCAAGAACATGTGACGCTTCTTAAGGTCGGAGCAGCAGTTACGGCCTTGTTGTGTTTGTTTTTGTTCTGCTGTGTGAGAGACATCAGGCTGACATCGACCCTGGAGGTCAACAAGAACACAGCTCTCAGCTTGCTGGGTCGGCTTTGTTTGACGTCTGGAAATGTTCGACTGGTAACTCAAACCAGGTCTGTTAATCACAGCTAATACAAGTTTGATGCCGATGTATTTTTCCCCTCTATCTTCCTCTTCATTTAGCCTCCATTACCTCTGCCTTGCTTCCTCATTCCCCATCTCCTGTCCTCCCTCCTCCTCCTCTTTTCTGTCTCCCTGTGGTACCCGCTCCCCTCAGGCATCCCAAACCTCATTTACACAGAAATGTTTAGCCAGCACAGGAAGCAACCCGTGCCCTTAACAAAATTACGGCCCAGCCAGCGAATGAGCCGCGGGGCTGGTCTGTAGGGACCAATCACAGAGGGGCTGGGCTCTACCACTTCCTGCATTGTTGAACTCAAATTGCTGACTTTTTAGTGCCCCCACCTTTTCTATTCTAGACAACTTTGTACCCAACTGAGAGCTTACCTCCAACATCGTGAAGCAATATGCTCCTAACAGCTTTTATATGAGCTGCTTTAAATGATGTTAATGATAAGAGCTGTAATGATGGTGATGTAAATGCACTGAGTGCTGTGTTAACAGAGACAGGGTGCTCGGCTGTGCTCTGATCACTATCTCTGCGGCGCCTCAGTAATTTAGCTCTGAAGTTGGCTCTATTAATGGGCCTCTGCTTTTCCTTTTCCCTCTCATATCCTTTTAATCTCCCTGTCCCTGGATTCCATTTTACATCCTCTTGTCCTTCTCCAGCCAGTTCAGAAAAGGATCATACTGGTTTTAAACTTTATAAGCACATCACTGCTGTGGCAAAAAACAACTCATGCCCAGAGGATTTCTTTTAGAAGAACAGGCTGTACGTTGTTAAAGTAGTGACAACAAAGTTTAAAAAAGCATACACTAGTGGGCTGTATTCACTTGGGAAATAAACTGCTGTCATATCTGAACTGACAAGATAGTTTTCTTATTATTACCAGAAGTTTTTATTTTATTTTTTTTTAATGAATGAGAAAGTGGTACTTAAAAATATCAACAGTAGTTTTCATTTAGACCAATCAAGGAAACAAGCATGTTCTGACATTTTGGTTCAACCTAGTTTTACTCTGGTTTGGCTTTGAGGCATGATGGACGCTTGTGTCTGTAAGTAATGTGGAGGTCATCGTATGAGCTGTTGTTCAAGTGCAAAGCCAATTTTGATCCACTAGTTCCTGAAGTGTTTTGTGAGTTAATCTGGAATGTAATATGAATAAAGGATGAAATTAAAGGATGATAATTATCTAGCTAATTCAGAGAAAAATCTGAAGGAAGTTTTATTTCCGAGTGAACACAATAAGATTCGGTCAAAACAGAAACAATAGTCCCAAAATGTGCCATGGCAGAAACAGACTGGATTTAAAAAAAAACAGATTCATGTGCCCTAAGTGCTGCAAATTAAAAATACAATAAACCAAGAAAAGAAATGCAAACAGAGGAATACAGTCTTCACAGCAGGAGGGCTTTAGGAAACAATTTTAGGCTGTTTATACATCACTCACCATTTTGTATTTGCGTTTTTTCACCTCTGCGTTGTTTGCACTTGTTTTGAATTTGCAGCCTTTTATCACATCATAGAAATCTGTTGGGCTGCTGCAGTGTTTTTGCACTTTTCTGCCATCACAGTTATGTGCATATAAAGTAGATACAGCATCGTGTCGCAATATTTTGTCTCGTGATATATCATATCGTCTCATTTACCAAGTATCAATTTTTTCAAAATAGTTGTTGATATGAAGTCAAATCTATGATAATGGAAAAATAAAATCGACTGGTTGTCCAGTGAGGTTGGCAGAGGTGACATCACAGAGCAGGAGAAAGTTAGTTTAACAAATTTATATAAGGTTTGCAAGATGTGCTACATGAAAATAAAATACTGTGTAAATGAGACAAACATAAAGGAAAGCCAGCGTAAATTAGCTAAACAGTTGAAAAATTGTATAAATCTCAATATATTGTATTGCAAAACTCACTGTATTGTAAAATGTTAAAAATCGCAATAATATCGTATTGTGGCCCTAGTATTGTGATAATATCGTACTGTAGGGCCACTAGTGATTCCCACCCCTAATATCAAACTCTTCAAAGACAGACTAACAACGTTAAAAATACATTTAGTATTTACAAAACAGCATGCCACAAATTTGTGTAAAATGATGCATTTTTTTCAAATCTCTGTGTCTCTGGGTGCATCAGGTGCAAGTCTTCATAATATCGACTGAAAAACCTCAATGGTGCCATTTATTGCTTTCAATGAGTTATCCCAAGGATGATTTATTCTCCGTTTGATTCATGGTTAATATTCAAGCGTTGTCCTTGGTCTCAAAAAGGACCAAGATGCCACTTAAACAACCACCCTCTCTGCTCCTCCCCCTTGAATCTGTTTCAGTATGCATCAGGGACTCTGGAGGGGTATAACCATGTGAGATATCTCTCTCTCGCTCATTCCAATCAGCTCTCCCTCCATGCCCTCCGCTCAGGTAATTAACTTCTCCCTCCCACCTCCATCCGCTTCACGCCCAGCCTCCCTCTGCTCCTTATCTGCACTCCTTTCAGACTGTTAAAACTATCAGCCTCCTTCTCCCTGTCCCCCCTTGTCTAATTCCTCATACTGAAGGTGAGGAATAGGTAGAAACTAATCCAGACCCCTCCACCACTTCCACCCACCATCCCATGCTCTCACCACCTGAATCGCTTTCTGCCTTTTTTTGTCCTCTTTTTAAAAGAAAGGGTGATTTTCACCTTCAGTTTGAATGGAGATTGAAGAGCCAGAGATTGGATTAATCAGACATGTTATCCTGATCGGTGAAAGAGAGACTTGATCGCTGCTTGCTATAACCTGATTAGGATACACCCTTACGTGCACACACACACAGACACAGACTGAGGAGGTAAGGCGAGCAAAGACAGGCTACATCTTTGACTTTTCTACGAACTGTGAGGGATTAAAGGAGATTGTAATTGCTTTTTCTCTCCTCTCTTTCAGTTCATTTGTATTGACAACTTGTTTCTCATCTGTCGCAGAGCAGGAAGGTCACAGATCTATGAAAAGAGTCGAGCGGCCTCTTGACAAAGATGGCACAAATGTAGGGCTGGAGAAAAAAAAAGGTGGAAGCTTTCATCCTTTCTCCGGCGAGGCCTCTTATGTAATATTCATGATGCAATTCAGGACATCTTTAAAAGGTAACAGTGTTCAGTAATGAATGGAGAGTACAAAGACAGGTACAATCTCAGACAGATAATCTCTGTCATAATTACCATAATGTGATAAAAAAAAAAGAGTCCTGATTGAAATTAAGCAGAAAGACATGTGTCGCTCTCATGCCTGCCTTCATTCTCCTCCGACTCTCAGTATTTATATCCGTCTCTAATAGCCTGTGACTCACAGTGTGTGGCACCGCTCACTGAGTTAGAGGTCAAGTGTTAAGTGTTGTGTGTGCGCTAAGGATTCGTTCCAGATCGCGTGTGGTTAACTGAGACGATGTCGAGTGTGCTGTTAAAAATTTGTTTCGGCTCACAGACTCAGCTGAACTGCATCGTAAAAATAGTCAGCAGTGAGTCCCCAAAACAAAAGGATCACATCAGTGTTTGCAGAATTTACAGCCTGCAAGAAGGGGATTTCTTCGACTGTAAGAGGACAGGAAGAGCTGCAGAAAGAGATAAATCTGTGTGTTCAGTGTGTATTTAAAACACTTTTAGTTTTTAAGTGTTGAATAAGAACTAATGAATACTTATTACCACTCAAAATGGTTGTTATAAGGCCTCATAGATGGATTTATAAAGCTTTATAAACATGCTTATGATGCTTATATAAGGGGGTCATATAAAATATTACCAAACTATGTTTTAAAACTCTTGTTAGGAGTTTAAATTAGGTTATTGAATGGACTGTGATTTTATGCTGAGGTATTTGTATAAACTAACAAAGCAAACCAGTCCATGAAAAACAAAACTGAAATACTCTGTGTACAGAGATGAACAGTGATTTCCAAAAATGGCACAAACCAGAACTTTGACACAAGAGCGCTAAAAAAACTATCAAAGAGTTTTAAAGACCCACTCCAATGATAATCAAGTTTTTCTTGTTTTTTTGTATGTTCAAATGGCATTTTTCTGATGCTTCAGGACAAATCATGAAAAAACTAAATGCGAAATTGTTTTTCTGAATATTTCTTCATTAAATCACTGTGAATCTCTGGCAGACCCAAACGGCAGGTTCAGAAACAGTGAGGTTTTATACGTAACCAATCCAAGCTCCGCCCTCGGAGCCCCGCTATGCAGTTGACACTCTGATAAAAGAGAGGACAATTGCGGAGCAAGCGTGTGCGTAAGTGGATTGCAATGCTCGCAAGAAAGCTGATTATGATTATAGCTTTCATCACGTACCTTAAGACATTGGTGTCTGAGAGCTGAATAGCTCCTATGTTAGCTGCCACTTCTTCGAAACTGGCAATGTTAGGCTGCAAGCAAACGTGAAGATGAGTGTGCAGTGCAGCGCTGTCTCTGCCCATGACTCCGCCCATGACTCCAAGGTGAATTGCTGATGATCTGCTGGAGCTCTGCAGAAGAAAATCCCTTGAAAACGACACAGGCAATGCGATTTTTATTAAAAACTTCATAATCAAAATTTTTAAGACCACTGAGGTCACTTGAAGTAGTAAAAAAAAACAAAAAACGGTCAGAGTGGGACTTTAAGTGTTCAGTTTTTAGCAATAGTGTATTTCAGAGAAAATCCTCGACAAACTCAAATGAATAAATTCGAGAGATCATTCTTATTGTGTTGAAGCTCCCCTGCCAGGTATCTGTTGAGAGGTATACCTTGGGCCTCTAGCTGGACTTTTACCACTTGCAAATTAAAGGTGCTCTCCTGTCTGATGAACACATAACCAGAGTGTGTAATTTCTGTCTTTTGTGGTCCGCTTAACAGCCTCTAAAGTGATCACTGATGGTTTCAAATGTTATGATTTCTTTCCGTTAGGGCCTCAGTACACACTCATTAGACGGTGTACATTTCTGAATCAAGGCCTCGTTTCTTCTCTTGGCTGTATCATGTTGCCTGGACAAAGATGTAGATCCCTCCTCCTTTTACACCTCCGACTAAAGACCAGAACAAAGACCTGATTCACACACCCTTCATACACTTTCCTCTCTTTGAGTGTTAATTGTTGATGGCTGCACAGCACAAGTTGGCCCCCCTACTCGGCTATCCTTGCCTTTTAAAAGCCGGTTAAGCTGTGGCAGTGCAGGTCTCAGTGGTGGAGTGGATGGATGGATGGAGAAAGAGAAAGACTGAGATAAAAGTAGAAATGGAGAGCAGAAAATGAGAGGGTGCAGTCAGAGAAAGGGAAGCAGGAGATTACACACAGTTCTTATCTCAAAGTGAAAGAAGGATACAGTGATGAAAGGAGAAAGAGGAGGAGGGAGGGAGGTAGAGGTGTGGTGCTTAGGGCCAGTTGGTCAGCAGCTCCATATAAGACCAGGACCTCTGCATGTGTCTGACCTCCCTGTGGAACATGAAATGTAGCTGTGTTTCATCTCTTCTAATCAAGTTTCCTCTCTTTTACCATCTTTCAACCCTCCCTTTAAAAGAGTAGTTTGTTTGTAACAGCTGGAAGAGTAAGCTGTCTCTCTAACTCTTATTATATCATTAAAGATATTTGACAGCAATGGCACTCCATACCTTCAGAGTCCTTGTTTATTCTCATGATACATTTAGAGTCTGCATTTCTCTACTAGCCCATTTTTGTTGTCTCTCTTTTGATGGGTTATTTCAAAGGAACACAAAGGGTCATACTGGTGTATTGTTGGCACTGCCTGGTGTGTATTGTAAATTCTTTATCAAGTTATTGCCAGGGTTTTACACAGAAAAAGGTGAGTAACACTTTACTTGACGCCTATCTCTATAACGCATAATAAATATATGTCTTATGTGGTATAACCACGTTATAGCACTGTATAACTATAATTATAAACACTCATAAATGATCATAATGCTTTATAGCAATAATCATAACACATTATAAAGCATTTTATCATGACTAACAAGGTCAGGTATTATAATGTGTTATAACTGTTAACAACTCATTTATGTGGACAAGGCTTTATAACATAAGTATAACACAGTATAATACCTGACCTTGTAAATCATGATAAAATGCTTTATAATGTGTTATGATTATTGCTATAAAGCATTATAATCATTTATGAGTGTTTATATTGATAGTTAAACAAGTTTATAAGCAAATTATAACACATCATAAATATATGTAAAATGCATTATCTATGTGGGCATAGTAAGTGAGTTTTTAACAGTTATAACACATTATAACACCTGACCTTGTTAGTCATGATAAAATGCTTTATAATGTGTTATGATTATTGCCATAAAGCATTACGATCATTTATGAGTGTTGACTATACTTATACAGCGCTATAACGCAATTATCACACATTATACATATATTTACAATGCGATATAGAGATAGGCGTCAAGTAAAGTGTTACCAAAAGGTCGAACACTGATGAGGTAATGCAGCATGTTAGAAAAAAAAAAAGATCATTGGGCTTTTCCAGGGTGTCACAGTAAATTTAAAACAGTATATCCATCACTCATTTTCTATGTGGCAGGTGCTACCAAGACAGGTTACAAGCTGCTCCCCGGAGAGCAACAGATAGGAGCACATGATTCAGTAGGAAGGAGTAATGGGATGCAAGGGATGATCAGAGGAAGATAAGATTTCTTTATCAATGAACCACAAGGTGAGCAGAAAATATGATTTCTTGCTCACACAAACTGCTTTTTCCCAGATCACAGAAGGAAATTGAGTTTTTTTTTCATTCTGAGGGTGACTGTAGCATGTTTTTAGAAGGCTCCTCCTCTGTGCCCCTCTGGGTCTGTTTCATTGTGCCTAACTGGATTAAGATGGATGGATAGAGATGGAACCAGCAGGGAAATAATAGCATTAGTACCTGCACACTGAGCACTAGTGATCCATTGTCAATCCAAACCTGTTCAGCTGTGATTGACTAGTGATAAAGACTTTTACATGAAGAGCACTTTGCCCTCCATGTGACAACCATACCTTTGCAGAAACTGTAATCACAATTTACAGAAAGAGCGCTCTTTAAGATGTATTAGTGTCTGTTGTCTTTAAAAGTTCAGGCTATAGTTAATCAGTCAGATTGAATCTGGTGGTAAATCTGCTTTCCATTGACCACCTCAGTTTCAAAGTGTACAATAAGAAGTGATCGACTGACAGGAGTTTGTCCACCGATGAGTAAGCTGTGTATCTTTGTTCCCAGAAGAAAATCATTGGTGGCAGCTGTTTCCTATAAGTCAGCCCAAAATCTCCTGTAAAAAGCCGAAATACAGGAGACAAGAAAAGATAGCAGAAAGTAACAGTAATAGTGAATTTGTGAGCCGCAATCTCCTGAGATCTCCATTAAGTGGCAGTGAGCAGAGAGCCGGTCAGATAACCTTTCTGTCTGGGAGCCAGCACTATCTGTTAAAAGAAGATATCATTGGATTAAGCATATCCTCCGAAAGCCTAAAACAGCTGATCTCTGACTGATACATGCCTTTATTAATTACTGAGTGTAGTTAAAGATGGGCCCATGGCAGAGATTACTCTTCATCCTGGTCGTGTTTAAAGTCTTACTGTAAACTGTTCACCTTTTTTTCACCTTTACACGTGATTTTTGAAGAAAGGTTTTGCACATGGCATCAGTCCGTGCGCAGATGTGACACTTTTTCATGCATGAAAGACATCTGAACAGATTTCTTGTAAACAGGCAGAAGGGGAAGTTATTCATTTTTCCTCATATTTGTTTAATCTGGGTGTTGTACACGTTTTGTGCGAAACAGAAAGAGCACAAAGGAACCATATCACAAGCATGATCAGAAAGTTTTTTTGTTTTTTTTTTGGCAGAAGAGAGTCCGAATAAAAGAGAAGAACTAATAAAGCCATAGCAGGAAAAACTTAACAAGAAAACCGCCATGTTAGCAGAGAACAATGTTTTGTGCTTATTGCCAGAACTAATAAAGTTTAATGGGCGTAATGGGTACCACTTAGATTATCTGTGATCAGTGCATGAAAAAAAAAGATCACATTTTCTAAGTAAAACTAAAATCAAGCTGGGGTTTAGGTTTTTTGTTGGTAAATCTCTAAATTTTTAAGGAAATTGGTCACAATCCAAGTTACAAATCCAACCCACTCACACTCTGAACATAAAAGGTTGACCTCATGATGCTGCTGGAAGTCAGCATATCACCCAAGTCATGAGGATACATCCTCTACAGACCGAAATTTCATGTCAATGCATTCACTGTAGTATTTGCGAGGAAATTTCAGCCAGGGCTTAAATTCATGATTATGATTCAATGATTATAACAACATCCTCAATATACTACACTCACCAGCCACAACATTATGAACACTTGGACAATCAAATACAACCGATTCACTGCAAAGTCTACTTTTAGTAAGCTTCTAGATTTTGTTGACACAATCGGACAAATGATTATTATTGCACTCATTGCACAGTAAGTTGTGGGTGGTGTTTGTGTACTGGAGTGAGTAGTATTAAAAGCTATTTCTTGTGTTTTGTCAGGAGCAAATTATTTAAAATGCCTTTCAGTATAACACACCTCTACAGTAATACTGCTCTGTCTGACCTTGCACATGAAAAATGAAAGTTAAGAAGCTTGGTAAAAGTGTTTTTTGTGGTAGAGCTGTTGAATTAGGTTGCAAAGGATTTCCACGGTGTTCAAAATGTTATGGCTAGTTAGTGGAGTGGCAGGACTAATGCCAACAATAACTAATTAAAAATATCAAACATTAGGGTAGTTTGAATTAATGACAGTAAAGGTCCTTAAACACTGGGAACGATGCAAATATACGATGCGAAATTACGAAATATTTGGAGGCAAATTTGACGCGCCTGACTGTACACATCAAGCACGATGCGATTTTGCGACTTTCTGGGGGGAAAAAAGACGTGTCCCGGGTGGAAGCGAGAAGACTGACACAACACTAGACTGACTGTTTTTCAGTTCTGATTAGACACTAGTGTTGAGATGGCTGTCTGTCATGATAGCATGTACTGAGTCGGGGCCAGTACCAGATAAGCACATTAAACTATAATCCATAAACGTAAGGTAACAACCGAGACCTAATGGTGCTGTGACGCGATTGAGTTTGACAATGAAAATACATATGGTGTTTTGTATCTGAACAGGTTAGCTTACGAGCTAAAGTTACTTAGCACAGATGAAAGCTAAAACAAAGACGTTTAGCAAACTGTTAAAGCACACAAACCATCGTCATATGAGAAATCCGACGCTATGACTCTCCACAAGTTGTCTTTCAGGTCGTTATCTTCGTAATGTTTGTGTTTTTTATCAAAAAGCACTCTGTTCTCTGATACATAAACAATCAGCCAGCCAGTTGGATGTACCGGTGAATCTGACGTTGCAACAATACAAAATCTGTTTGGTCAGAAGTGGACACACGGTATGCGAAACTTTAGAAATAACTTTTTAAATAATTGCCGCAATATCGCAGGACGGGAAAACGTCGCTGATGTGAACGCTTGTATTGACGTGATACGGGTTCAAAAAAAATTTTGACGTCCAAAATAATCACACGACAAAAACGCTCCCGGTGTGTAAGGACATTACTTCTCTATATTTTGACATCTTTGCCTGTGAGAGAGGCACCTAAATAAGAAGTAGTTGTTGTGTGTTCTCTCTGCAGGATTTCTCAATAGCTTTGATTGTTATTAGTTTATACAAGAATTTCAAGCCACATGAATGGATGCTGGTGAATGCAGGACTGTGGACTCTGCAGGGACAGAGAAAAACCAGATGGTAGAAGATGGTTAAGGGGATGGTTAGGGGGATCTGCAGATAACAGCTGTACTCTCTTATTGAGGTGTCTAAGCGTCTGAAGAATTAGCCTATCAATGCGATATCAAATTTGTTTTCTGTCTGTGATATTGTACCTTTAAAGAAATGTAATTGATAATCACATGAATGTGTTGCTAGTATCAAAGCTGTTGTATTTAAAAGGAAGTGTGCTGGCATGAATGAAGATATTTAAATGGTGTGTGTGTGTGTGTGTGTGTGTGTGTGTGTACGTATGTGTTGGTGTTAGGGGGGTAGAAATCGAGCATTAACACAGTGGAAGTGGCGCTGTTCATTTGTCAGGAGATGGATTGCAGCCATTGAGAGGAAAAGCTTTTAATTTGGCTCTGGTGTGGTAATTAGGTTTCAATTCGCCGCGCTTACTAAGAGGAATGGGGAGGGTAATGGAGTTAGTCATCTTACTGTGTGTTTGGAGGGAGGGAAAAATGTGTGTGTGTGTGTGTGTGGAGGGGGGGTAGTATGCACAGTGTACATTTACAGTTGCTCTTGTGCTCTAATTCATTGTGTAATGCTGTTTATTATGGGTATCACAGTGCCTCTAAGCATTAGTTAAGTGGCCCTGGCACATTACAGTAATGGAGAGAGAACATGAAAACACACTGAAACCTGATCTAGCTCCACTCTGCTGCTGTGCTCTCCCTTATGTCTTAATAATGTCTCTCTTTACACGGTAGGAAATATTTTACCTCTGTCTCCCTTGACTTCCATCTTTTCCCCTTGTGTGTCTTCCTCTTGATCTGGTCTGGATTGCTTTGGGGTCTCTAATAGATGGGTTTTGTATGCAGAAAGTACAGGTCAAGTTACATGGTGTAACAATTAGAAAAAAGGAAACAAGGAAATGAGAAAAAGAAAGTGTATATAAGCTTGTAGTTTTGTTTCAGTACAAAGAAATGAGAATCCTATATCAGGAATTGTAGAGAAATTAATTAAATGTAATTTAGTGTAAGATGAGGCGTGTCTTGTTTAAAAGTTCCTGCTTACTTTTTCAGTTGTCCTACTTGCTCATAGTTTGTGCATTCATGCTCCGAAATGTCTGTCAACTGTGTATGCTTTTGTGTTCACTTTTATCTTGTGTGTGTGTGTGTGTGTGTGTGTGTGTGTGTGCGCGCGCGTGTGTGTTTGTATACTTGGCAGTGGGCACAGTAGCCACATGACGACCCATGCTTGACCTCTGAGAAGCGTGTAGGCGCCGGGGTTCAGTCTGACTCCTGTCACATGATCCCCTGCTGCCCTCCCTCTCTCCATTCACAATAGAGTATTAATCTGAATAACACACACGCACACTCAAAGACACACAAAAAGCTCAGAAACTGTCACACATACTTAGCTCAAAAAACACGCCCAAATAGACACTGCTTTGTCTCTAAGTGCAGCATTTTATGACGCCTTTCAACTGTAACATTACAGAGTAAAATCGATGTTCAGCAAGCATTTTTCTAGGATCATCTCCTCATTTATTGGCGTCTCCATAGACTTTACTGGGTCTGATCTTTGAGGGCGGAGGCAGGTGTCCTGATATACAAATGCCACCAACTTTTAGTCTAACTGTGCTCTCAGCTGAGGTATTGAACCTTGTTTAGTTCTTTTCTCTCTCCTTCCTGCTGCCTGTTGACTCTCCCTCTCTTTGGTTTATCATTAAAGGATTAGCAGGCTGAGAGATGGATGAGGGGGCCTGAGGTGCAGTTGGTTTTCTGCTAATAGAGGACGTGTGCCTTCTGTCAGTCTGTTTTGTAACCCCGCTCGAATCAAAACCCCCTTTCAGAGTTTTATTTTTCAAATCATAATTTCTTGCTTATACAAGTTAATACACCGTTAGCTGAGCAACTTCCTCTTACCTCTCCAGTCTCTCCCACGGTTGGGGCCTCCAGCCTCCCAGCATCCTTGGTGTGTGGGCTGACTCCAGCTCGGCTTCCTGTTATAGAAATTTGCGGAACCGCGATCCCCCCAAACGCACACACACACACACACACACACACACACCCTCAGCAGCCCTGCAGCCATCTGTAGGTGAGTGTGTGTCTGCGAATGTGATATACTGTTTGTGTTCGGCTTCTTACACAATCAAGTCAACCTGTTAGAAGTAAGGAGATGAGCCAAGATAGAGAACTGAAGGTAATCGAGTAGAATCAAGTCAAGACACGGAAATGCACATGGTAGTTTTAGAAGACAACAAAGGATGATGTATAATTGCATGACTTATTACTACTACTTTTACTACTATTACTACTACATGCCTTATTATCCCATGACGAGTAGTGGTTCAGGTGGTTGAATAGGTAGTAGTTTGTTGGCAGAACATGTAGATGAAGCAGATGAAGGATACCCTGCTATTGTGTTAGTTAAAGTCCCAATCCCACTGATTTTTTTTATTGTTTATAGTGTTCTCAGTGGTCTTTAAATTGTGATTATGAAGTTTTCAGCCAAAATCATGTTACCTGTGTCATTTTGCTTTTCTTCTACAGAGCTCCAGTAGCACATTAGCAGTTCGCCTCTTAGTTGTGGGTGGAGACAGCGCTGCTCTGCACACTCCTCCTCACGTTAGCTTGTAGCCTAACATTACCTGTGTAGAAGAAGTGGCAGGAAATATAGGAGCTATTCAGGTCTCGGACACTAATGTCTTTGGGGGCATGATGAAAGTAAATATAATAATTAGCTTTCTTATGAGCATTGTAATCTGCTAACGCACATGCTTATCCTGCGATCGTCCTCTCTGGCCTGCAGAGTGGGACACAGGGGGCGGAGCTTGGATATGTGACATAGAAATTCCCACTGTTTCTGAACCTGCCATTTGGGTCTGTGAGAGGTTCACAGCGATTTGAATGCAGAAATACTCAGAAATGTAGTTTTGCTCTTAGTTTTCTCATGATATGTCCCGTAGCATCAGAAAAATGCCATATGAACATGTAGACTAGACAACAAGGAAAACATGGTTTTAATCAGAGTGGGTTTTTAAGGCTGCACGGATCAGCTTTATAGCCTTTAGCTGATGAAATAATGACATGTAATGTGTTTGTGGTCTCTTCTGATGATCTTATCTGCTAAGTATCAGACAGCTCAGCAGTTTCCTTCAGCCTTTTTTTTTTTTTTTTACCATTTGGCTCATCGTTCTGTTCACCCCTGCCTGCTATTTTCCTGTTTCAGTTTACAAAATACCTTTATTAAACAAATCACGTGTTTCAAACCTTTTTTGGCTAAAAAGCTAAACTGTATCTGTTGAATGCGTTTGTTGCGTCACATTCAGAAAGAGATTGGAGAAGGAGAGAAAATTGCTCAGTGTGCCAGTACTAAACTCATAACATCATAACTAAGAGCGAGCCCAAGCCTAAAGCAGCTTTAAGTATAAGATTTATGAAAAGGGAAAGTTTGGAGCCTACTCTTTAAGGAAGGTGCTACTGTACTCTCATTTTATCGTTGGGCGTAACAGGTTTTCTTGGTTTTTGAAGCTGCCCTCATGTGGACACTCAAGGTACTGCAGCTTTTTGGCACTAATACATAGGCTCAAACACTGAAGGTTGTTGCTTGTATGAAATACAGATTCAAGTATCTAAAGTAAGAGCTCCATGAATAGACACTGTAAATTCTTCAAACTTATTTCGTCCATTTACTCTAAATGCAGTCGAAGCTCAGTGTGAGTTTATACATTAGATAACACGACAACAGTTTGCAGCGTACATCGACCCTCACAGCCTCACAGTTGAAACAGGAGAACAACACAAGTACAAGCTGTAATTTATAGGTGGAGATCAGCAGAGTAGGTGTGCAGGGTGAGGTTTCAGAACATGGACTAATAACCTCACAGCGTCACTCAATCCCAGCATTTGTGCTGGAGCTCTTTGGCTGCGCTGTCCAGGCAATCTGAGCACCATTGTGCTCATGTGTGTCCCGGGGCAGTGGTTCATGAAGCAAGTATTTTCTTAAATGACAATAAAACACACAATGAGAGGGTGTAAGGGAGAGGATTGATCATGGTCATTTCACAATAGATACAGTTAAGAGGAGACAGTCAGATTTTCTACAGCCTTTGCTCTTGAGCTGACCGTGTGAAAGTGTGTTTTATTAACAACTATTTCATTTGGTTTGATATTGTGTAATTAACCAGAGAAAAAAATTCAAAGCCTCAGAGCTCAGACTAATGTAAGTAGCCAAGCTTGGGCGCACATTGACCCCAGGACTCTCACAGTGGTCTGCCAGCTGCATAGTAAAAAAATTATATAAAATCAGTACCTGTTTGGTCAGGCTTTGGCGGTGCAGCATGCAAAGAAGCCACTTCGCTGCTATCTAGCTCACTCATCAGCAGGTCAGGAGGCCTTGAATACAGAGGAATGTGAAAAAGCTTCAGAGGTAGTGAGATCTGCATAGACCGAGGAGGAAATTTGATCACTTCCTCATAATTTTGTAATTCAGTGGCTGATATTCTTGAAATCTCCACCCACAGTAAACCTCTCACATGGATTTGACTTTATGGTCCACCCACTTGTAACCACCAATACTAAATACATACTGAGAGAAAAGTCATGCAAAAATAAAAGCTTTTTGAACAGAACATGGAAAACACCAGCCAGTTCCTGTTTTAGATTTGATATGCTGTATAAGGATGGCAAAAACCCATTATCATTTGGAAGGACAAAATGACAATAAATCAGGGCTGTCTGGAATTTATTTGAATAAGAATGATTGATTTCTGAATTTCAAAAGTTTAACAGATGTTAAATTTTTTTTTTTTTTTTTTTGGTATTTGAAATTTTTATAAAGGGATAATTTATTTGTTTTTATTCAGCTGGAGTTGGCTGACGTGCTTGTCAGTAGGAAGTGTTTTAGCCACGGGGAATGTCTATCAGCTTGAACCTTTTGTTGAGAAAGTCGCCAAAGAATCTTAGCAGAAGCTCGCCTATCTACAACCTCAGATCTCTGACATGTAATTTAGCTAGTTTACGTGAAATTTGAAACCGAAGTCCCAAGTGCATCCTTTATTTGGAAATCAGTTGTTTGCTATTGAAGATTTCTATTCATTTTTGCGCTGTTCTTGTCGAAGGGGATAATGATATTCAAGAAACTGCTTGGATATATGGCATAAGAAATAAGGCATCATAAGACCAACATAAACACACTGAATGATGCTTTTTTTTTTTTTTTTAAGAAATGTATCATTTCAGTGTATTGAGTAAGCTAATGATTTTAGTACATTTAAACAGTTAAGTATGTGCGCATTGTGTGAGTGTGTGCCAATCTGCATGTGGCCAAATGACTGAGTAATGGGGTTGAACTGTTTAGGAAACTTACTGTGATTGTGCTCAAAGAGTTGTGGTAACTGCATCTGCCTGCAGTGATTTCTGCGAGCACTAAACGGCTCTTCTGCAGGTGACAAAACAGCCTCATTATACCAGAGCTGTATACGGGACAATACAACAATACAGCTGGGTGTTGCGGCCACTGCAACAAAAGCAGTGAAATTAAAGATGTGAAGGAGGCTGTGTGGAAATGGTTACACAGGGTGGTGGAGGGATAGTGGAGGGGGGGGGTCTGCTGGTGCTGGGTTCAGAAGAAGACCCAACATGTGAAGCGGATCCATGTCTGTCACTGTCTTTTCTTTTTTTTCCTCATATCTCTTGTTTCTCATGGCCCAATTTCCAACACTCGCCCCACCTAAGTGTGTGAAAGTTGTATCAAGGTCTTGCCAAACAAACACATATCACTTGTTACAGAGGCAGCCCAAGCCTCAATGGGGCCCTAAGCAAAATTATATTGATTGTTTATCATTCACACACCTACTACAGTACAAATTTAATGCGCCTGACATGTCTTTACACATTTAAGGGGATGGCCTAGGTAATAACATAAATAACACCGATGCAACCATACAAATAATACCAATGAATGACTGATGAATGATGTTCAGGGTGCCACATATGGTTTTTAATCTCAAAATGTAACACATTCAGGATGCTCGGTGCACATTGCACAGCAGGAGGCACATAACAGTAGTGGAGCTTTGACATATTGGCAGTAAGAATCATAGGCCAACATCAGCAGCAGCACTAAAATGTTTTTACTTTATTTTATTTTTACAATAATAAATATTTGATCATACAGAAAGCATCACTCATACATGCATATTTTAATTTTTTTTTTTTTTTTTTTTTTGATTGCTCTAGGGGCCCCCCTACTGACTGCAGGGCCCTAAGCAGGTGCTTAGTTCGCTTATGCCTTGGGCCGGCTCTCACTTGTTAGCACTTGATGCTTAAGCATGTGAAAAAAAAGGCCTTTTGAAACAGATTTTACTAAAAATAAAATGATTTTGAAAATAAGAAGATAAATGGGTTGAGAAATGTCACACACTTGGGTGCTCAGTGGGGGCAGTGGAAGGGTTAAAGAAGCACATCACACAAATTACAAAAAAAGCAAGATCGAAAAGCAATAAAAAAGAAGAGGAAATGAAAAGCAGCTTGATGTTAGTGGGTGATAAGAGGTGCACTCGTCAAGAAGTCAAACAGTTCAAATAAAAAAAAACAGTGAAGAGAAGAAAGAGAGGTGTGAGGAAAGAAGAAGAGGAGATAGCTGCACACATGACACATCGTGACACTTTTATGATCAGAGTCTTATGATGAAGAATCAAAGCTTTCTAGATTTGTGTATGCAGTCGTGTGCATGTGCGTGTGTGTGGGTGGGGGATGGGGGGTGTTGGTGCGGGTGCATGTGTGTCCGGTTTTGCATATTTAGCTCATTATCGGTTTTGACTGCAGTCATTTCCAGCATGCTGACTGAGATATCAGAGCTGGGATCTACTGAAGGGGAAGGTGAGTGCTGTAGAAAATTGCTGGAGTTGCAACACACGAGCTGCGTGCTGTGGCTGGGTTCAATACTGAGACTCAGATGCAGTTCAGCTCTGCTCAAGACAACCCGATCACTTAAATCAACAAACACACGCCCTGAAGTGTTCCCCCTTCTTTCATAAACATACTCTTATTCCTGTCACTTCTTCCTCCACCCATCTTTCATCGAGTCCACTCTTCTGATTGTTATTTTGTGGTGTGACATCTCTCTTGGTAGAGTGTGTTTCTTTTTTTTAACCCTTCCTCTCTTTCTCTCTAGTAGTGTCCCCAGGAAAAAAGGGGGCCTCTACACTGAGCTCTGCAGGTCACTGTCAGGTCAACATTAGCTGCAGAGACGCTCAACCTCCAGAATAGATCCACAGCAATGTCTTCCTTCATCTCCCATGCATCCCTGCTCAAGGCTGTAGGGTCTATCTGGTGAAAAAAAAAACTTTACATTTAACTGGAAGGAACTGAAAACATCCTGTTGATTTGATTGTGCAATGAACACATGAGTGAGATTGAGGGTAGCTGAGGCTCAGTGGAAAAGACAGAAAGTTCCACCAATTAGACACTGAACCCTCCCAGTGATAGTCAGGTCAGTGGTGTATGAACATGTATAAAAAGAATAACTTAAGCTACAAACGGTTCCCTGCAATAGTGCCAGTTTAGCACCATCATTTTACGACTTTGGTGTAACGATAGAGGTAGTTAAAGTGCCACTCCAATCGTTTTAATACTCAAAGTGTTCTCAGTGGTCTTTAAATTGTGATTATGAAGTTTTTACCAAAAGTCCCGTTACCTTTGTCATTGTCAAGGGCTTTTCTTCTGCAGAGCTCCAGTAGCTCATTAGCAATTCATCTCTGAGTCGTGACGGAGACAGCGCTGCTCTGCACACTCGTCTTCACGTTAGATTGCAGCCTAACGTTGTCGGTGTAGTAGAAGTAACAGGTAACAGAGGAGCTAGCCAGCTCTCGTACACTAATGTCTTTAGAGACACGATGAAAGCTAATGTCATAATTAGCTTTCTTACGAGCATTGCAATCCGCTAATGCACACGCTTGTTTCACAATCGTCCTCTGTATTTCTCCTGTGTGGCCTGCATGGCAAAGCTTTGGGGGCGGAGCTTGAATTGGTTATGTATGAAATCTCACTGTTTCTGAACCTGTGTTTGGGTCTTCCAGAGATTCACAGAGATTTGAATGAAGAAATATTCAGAAAAGCAATTTCCCATTTAGTTTTCTCATGATATGGCCTGTAGCATCAGAAAAATGCCTTATGAACATATAAAAAAAAACAAGAAAAAAATTGATTTTCATCAGGGCGGGTTGATGATGTCATATCCAAGCAAGGTCTACATAATGAGCAGTAAAGCACAGATTAGTCTTGACTGAAGCGTCTCAGAGTAACTTACTTAAACCCCAGCAGCTGAGGTTTAACAGAAGCTAAGTTTAGGGTCCTTTTTTCTTTTCAAATAAGAGTCAAAAAGCTAGGAGAACACCCCCTACAAGTAAACAGGTTCTGCATACACAGACCAGTCTAAAAAAAATGCTCCATAAGTATTCTGCATGTTGACAGTGAAACATAAGGGATGCATTAGCCTTCATGCAATCCAAGGACCCACCGCCTATCATTTGGCAATGACTTGGCTTTTGATTAACCCAGGCAGCGTAGAAATAGGTCATACATGTCATCTCCAAAGTTCAGTCTACTCTTGCTGAATAACTGTTTTTGCTGAAAAGGAGCAATGTTGGTTCTAAAGTCCTTCATTGCTCATTAGCATGTTCACTGGCTACACCAGAAGTCCTGAAACTTGAGCCATTTCTTATTGCAGCAATGTAGTTGTTAGAAGATACTAACAGGTTCTCAGTTCAGGCTTCAATTTGTGGTTACTTTCCTGAATGAAAATAACCTTTGAAGTAACCTTGACCTGTAGATGAGTGGTCAGCAGAGGTAAATCAGTCGTTTTTACAGAACTGATACAGAGGGTGTATTTCAATAATATGACATCTGAAATTGTACTGTGACATTGATGCTGACTATGGATCGCTAAATTGTTGGTTTATATATATATATATATATATATATATATATATATATATATATATGTATATGTAGGATTTATTTTTATTTTTCTATCATTTATTGGCACCTCTTCCTCTGCCATTCTCTCAATATTTAGATGTTAACTTCACATGTACTCGACAACACTAATAGCTCCAGACATGATCTTATGACACTTCCTGTAAAGCAGTTATATAAACCAACCTCTGATGGTACAGACTTACAGTATATGGGCCAGGGTTAGTGCAATGCATCTGAGACGTTTTGTCCTTCCTTCTGTCCTGCACTCCCAGCCTAGATACCTGCCTCTCAGATTTCCTGAGGGCTGAGCCCTGGGCTTTTTGTCAAGTGTGTTATTAGATAGGGGGGCCCAGACGCCCAGTCCCAGGGGCCCTAACACACAGGACGTTAGCGTGGTGCTACAGGAGTGCTAAAGTTCTGTCTCTGTAGCTCTCTGCTGGACCCTCCCTCCTTCTCTCATTGGTACACCCGACTGAAAAAAAGAGGTGATTGTTTGGAGACAAGAGGGATGAATTTGTCTGCTTCAGTTGGGAGAAGAAAAGCAATTTGAAAAGGACTTGTCAGTGGATGTGGATCGGATGGTTGGAAGGTGTTCCACTTTTCAGGGAGAATGGGCGATGTGTCAGCATGTTCTACCTTTTTCTGCCTGTTCAGTGTCTGCATTCTCAATGTGTGTAGCTTTGCTCTACACATGGAGATCAATGAACCCAAATAACTCCTTTTTTAAAAAATGTATCCTCATAAATTTCCCCTTTAAGTGCTCCCGTCCCTGATTTGCTTTGTTCATGATTAGAGGAACTAGACTTTGTACCATTTATTTTGTGATATCTCTTATTTTAAAGGGGGAATCATAAAATATCAGAAAAGACCTTTATACACCATATCTTTATCTGTGTACTTGTAAAACAAACTGGCCACAGAGTACTCATTATCGTGTCCCTGGGGATGCAAAAGTTTTGTCAGTGATGTGTTGCTCATTTCTCCTCAGGGATGCAGCTGATTCTATCACGTGTTCTGAGGAGGGACAATCATAGCCCTCTCTCTCTCTTTTTTTGCTCCTCTTGGGATCTCAGCAGAGACAACACCTCTGTGTGTTAAACCCAGATCTCATGGAAACTCGTCCCAGATTGTAGCAGAGTCTCACTGTTGCAGAATGGACACATCTCACATCCCCTAGTCCTTAAAAAGGGAACACTGTAGGACTGGGTCAATACAGATGAAATGATGACATTGCAGCTTTTTGAGTCCTGTCCTTCATACAGGGGACAGGTATGCAGAGACAGTCGTTTTGTTTGTTGCCATTGAGGTCAGAAAGTCTCTTGGACATTTTTTCAACACTGTAACCTTCTTTTCGGGAAACATATTTATGATAAATACTGTGTCTAGTTGCTGAATTTACATATATATTTAGGTTGTAATGAAATCTTTCCATTTATATCCAAACAATATTACTTCTAATTATGTCTGCAAAAGCATGTTGCTGAAGGAAGAGACAACAGTCGGATTGAGTATTAAATTTCAAATAATGCTTTACCTGATCATCGAACAATACTCAGACTAGGAGGAACCTGGGACCCTGGTCCAACCATGTGAAATACCAAAAAAGAAATAATTAAGATTTTAATACAGTATATAAAACTGTAAAGTATAACATTTATAATTTGTTTAAAAATGAAAAGACATTTGTCATTCAAGCCAGTCTCTCCATACGATCACAGATCAGTATCCAGTTTAGATCAAACCAGATTGTGATGACAGTCTGCCCAGAATCTGGGTGTCATGATTGAAGACTAGCTAAACCTTGAGGTTTATGCGGCCTCGGCCCTGCCAGTTCAGGAGGATCAGACCCTACCTGACAGAACACACAACATAGCCCCTGGTACAAGCTCTTGGAATATCACACAAAGAAAACTGCAACTCCCTTATTGACAGGCCTCCCTCCACGCATGGTCAAACCTCTGCAGATGATCCAGAATACCACAGCCTGTCTGGTTTTCAACCAACCCAGACCAGCTCACGTCACTCTGCTGTTCATCTCTCTCCAATGGCTTCTAGTAGCAGCCAACATCAAATATTAAACCCCACATATTGCCTTCAAAACAGCAACGAAATCTGCTCCTACCTACCTGCAGCCCCTTATGCAGGTCTACACTCCCTCCTGCTCACTATCCTCTGCCTATGAGAGACGCCTGGTGCTCCCATCACAACAGGGCCCTAAGCCACTAGCCATATTCTTCTTCTGGAATGAGTTACCCAACTCTATCAGATTTTCAGAGTCCCTTTCTACCTTGAAGACTCAGCTGTATAGGAAACAACTACGCACTTAAAGGAATATTCTGGCGTAAAATTAATTTAGGGTCAAACACACTGTAACACCAAGTTAAACGCCCCCTCGAGAGATGAATGTTGCTGACCGCTTGCTTCTCTAGTTATACCAACTTTAGTAACGACCGCAGGATAGCAAAACACAGCGGTCTGAGGAGCTATAAACAAATCTCAACCAAAATGCCACCCTATAGCCACAAATAATGCTCAGAACAGCACCTAACTTCATCAACAGTACACATGGGTCTGAGCCATAGCATGATGAGCCATTACGTGATTTCTTTAGCAAAGAGACTAAACACAACTAACCTACTCTCTTCCAGCAGCCGCTTATTTGTAGCGAGACCTCAGGCCAGTCCATATAATGAGATGATGAGATAACATAAACCTTCAATCATCCCATGGTGAGGAAATTTGCCTTGTGAGAAGCAAAGGATCAGCATAGCAGCATACTGTCATGTTCAGATGTATGAAAATATGGTATAGTCTTCATTCTATCATTACAAGGTTAACAAGTAAGCACATGTTTAAAAAGAAGATACACCAATATCTAATGACCCAGACTCACTGAAATAAGAAACGGAACACCTAGACTAGGCTGTGACAACATACAATACATGCCAATGGGATTTTGATTACGAGTACATTCATCATGGCCTTTATTGGTGTTTATTGTGATTGTAAATGTAATGTCACCGTAATTCCAGTTTTAGTTATGATTTTAACATCTTGTATAATTCTCCTGTTTGGACTCTTATCATTTTAATGTATATGAATGTTTATTGTCTTCTTGTGGACCCCAGGAAGAGTAGCTGATACCTTGGTAGTAGCTAATGGGGATCCAAATAAATAAATAAATTGCAAACATAAAAGAGTAAGTACACCCGTCATGCACATAGTGCACAGATAATTATAAAACGTTAACTTAGATCTATACAGAAAATGTCATACAGAAAAAAGAGAAAAAATGTTTTTAAAAATGTAAATAAAGTCTACTCATTCGTTTTCTTCACTGTCTCTGTCTTTATTTCATTATCTCTGTAACAATACTTAATAGTTTTTTATGTGTTTGACCTTAAACCACATCTGAGTTTTCACTTGAATGCAGTTTTATCCTCCCCTTGTCGACGCCTCCCCTCTGTCATTTTTAGAGCTCTGAACTGGTAAGAACTCTGCTCCTTCCCCCTTTCATCTTATCTTCATCTCTTTGCTAACTCACTCTTCTGAACTCACTTCAGGCTTGTTTCTGATTCCCTTAATTGAGTTTGGTAGAAAAACAAACGCTCTTGTAAGAGGGGGAACTTGTGCAAAGGTTGCAGCTCTGAGCCTCAGCAGTGAGCTGATTTAGGATGCCCACCCAGTCCCTGAAAGGTTTACCTTGAGAGGACCTTACTCTCATTCCTTGGCTGTGTTTTATCTCCTCTTTATGAGGAAAGTATCCGTCTTTTGATTGTATTTTCATCAAGGATGTGACATTTCAAAAGGGTCAGTGAATAAACCTAAGTGCCGGGTATGTGGGGGTTTCGGGGACTGACAGAGTAAGTGCTTCCAGGGTTAAAGGTCAGGGTAGACTTGAGAGGAGGCTGCATTCTGCACTCAGGCTGACCCTTCTCTTTGGTCAGCAGTGACTCACAGCTAAAGCCCTGATGCAGAGGAGGCCTTCAACTTTTTTAGGAACTCAAATCTGAGATGAGATTCAAATACTGAGATTTACTTTATTGCAGACTGTGTGGTCAAAATCACACAGCCAAAAGTTCAGGGTCCAGTACATAGCAATTCTGTGATGAGACCCTCCACATCTAAACATGTACTATACCTGGCGAAAGAACTGAGGCTAATACTGAGTGTCTTTTGAATAAGTTGCTTTTTTTGTCATGTAAAACATTGCTTTTTGGTTGCAACTTTTTTACCCATACTGGTATCTGCATGTCACTTATTGATACTGATTACTGTCCCCTTATAACTAATTGTTTAGCGCTTAGTCACCATTGTAACTTAAACCTCCAGATTGGTTGGCCATCTCTGACAACAATTGGTGCCCTATAAACAAAGGTGTACACATGGGTACACCTTAATCTATAAGACAATTCTTGGCCTGATACCACACTATCTTTGTGGTTATCTATCACACAGAAAAAGTCCTGGATTGTATTCATTGCAATCTCAAGACTTTTTATATCCTCTCTGTCTCAAAAGCTTGTACAGAACCCAAAACCCCCAAACCTCCTCTTCAGCCAGTGAACACCTGTGGAGTGGACATCGAAGTGGTGAGATCATATAAATATCTAGGTGTACATCTGGATAATAAGTTGGACTGGTCTAAGAATACAGACTTCCTCTACAGAAAGGGGCAGAGCCGGCTCTTTTGCCTGAGAAGACTCCGATCAATACACATCTGTAGTAAGACGCTGCAGATGTTTTATCAGTCTGTGGTGGCAAGTGTTCTGTTCTACGCTGCAGTCTGCTGGGGAGGAAGCATCAAACACAAAGATGCAAGACATCTTAACAAACTGGTGAAAAAGGCTGGCTCTGTGGTAGGACTCAAGCTGGATTTAGTGGAGGATGTGGTGGAGAGATCTACACTGAGGAAGGTGGAGACTATTCTCAAGAACATGGATCACCCACTTCATAACACCTTGATGGACCAAAGAGCCAGTGGTGGTGGACGGCTCCTCTCTCTTCGCTGCAGGACAGAAAGATTCAGAAGATCTTTTGTACCAACAGCCATCAGGCTTTATAACTCTTATGTAAATAATAGATAACTTTTATAGACGTATTACGTGAGGCAACAGACAATTGAATTTCCCTTCGGGGATTAATAAAGTTCTTCTTATTCTTATTCTTAGAAAGAGTATAAATATGAATATGTTGCTATGGCATTGTAGGAGGCAGTTGCCTCTCCAGAAGTATCTAATCTAATCTTTTCTCTAGAAATTGATAAAAGGGCTTTTGGTTTTTCTGCACCCTCATTCTTGAATTTATTACAGAATGATTTGAAATTCAAGAAGCCTTTTTTTATGTTTTTAAATTTCTAATAAAAAAATTAAAGAAAATCCTTATGAACATTTTTATTAGTTTATCTGATAGCACATCTGACTCTAAGATAGTTTCTCTTTTATGTGGTAATTTTAGTACTTATGGACTGTACAGTGGTTTCTTGTGTGTCTTTGTGTTTTTGCTGCTGTCTTGGTCAGGTCTTCCTATAAACAGATATTTTTAATTTCAATGGGCCAACCTGTTCACTAGCTATGAATAATCATTCATAGCTAGCTGTTATTGTAAATTAGGAGGTGGGGGTTCTTTCTTATAAGAGCCACCTATGCTCAGTCTTTTTTTTTCTTTGCCTGACCTCCCTGATAATGTTTTGTTGTTGTTGTTGTTGTTGTTGTTGTTCTTGATATTAGGATCTTTATTTTTATAACTGCATTTTTGCACTCTTTGTCTGTGATGCTGCTGTGGCAAAAAAAATTTCCCCCATGGGGGATCAATAAAGGAATATTCGATTCTATATTCTATTCTATTAAACTTGTTTTAAATAAGAAAATATGAAAAGTGTTTTGTTGGCAATGAAGTAAGAAATGCAACGTATTGTAAAAGTTTTTGCAATGCAGAAAAACCTAATCAAAAATCCTGTCCCGTGTCTGAAACATGACTAACATGGTGAGATAGGACAGTGTTAATAGGAAATGTCTTATGTCACAGTTTGAGCAACATCATGTAACCGACTGAAAATAAGGCCAATTTCACAAGAGTATTATCTAATGAGCAGATGCGACTGGTTAAGTAATTGTAGGAACATATGGCTCATCCTGCTCAGTTTCTCTAATCTCCAGCTTTCAGTGAAGTAATCTGTTTATTAGAAAGCGATGCCTTGTGTTAAAGGCGGAAACATCAATACACTGATACTGTGCTGTGAAGAAGAGCTGCGAAGCTTGACCTGAAAGATGATGACAGGGCAAAACTTGTTATGCAGAGTGTTACAAAAGCCTTTTTCTATGCTAGTTAGACAATATGCATGATTTTTTTTTATGGTTTCCCAAAGACAAGATGGAAAGATTCGGCTGGTTCTTCTCTTAAAACACAGTAAGTCCCCTCAAAGGTACTGTGTGTAGAAATAAGAACATTTAATGATAACTAGCTGTCATATTCTGAAGTAAAATGCTCCCATGTCCACATCTCATGTCGGTGTGGACACAGTGGCCTTCTTCAACTTGCAGCTGCTGCCTTTAATGTGACCACTCACTAAATTTAAAAAAAGCAGGTGTCATTGGTTTGTTTGATTTGTATCACTGTAGGAACGTGAATGAGCTGTTGATGATGCCCTGTGCAGAAAAGGGGCCTGCACTTAAAGGGATATTCCGGCGTAAAATTAATTTAGGGTCAAACACACCATAACACCAAGTTAGACACCCCCTCGAGAGATGAATGTTGCCAACCACTTGCTTCTCTAGTTTTACCAACTTTAGTAACAACTGCAGGAAGAACATTTATGATCATTACTTAATCGCATATTCTCTCTAACTATCCACCTTCATACTTCTTTGTTGTTTTTATTTATTTAATTGTGTTTCTAACTGTGTTTTCAATGCCCTGTACAGTGTCCTTGAGTGTGCAGAAAGGCACTTTTAAATAAAATGTATTATTATTATAATTTCCTTGAAGTAATAATCACCATATTAATCATTTTGCACTGCAGACGCGATAGTTCTTCTGCCTCAGCGTCTCAGTCTGGTTGCATTTCCATAAAGAAATTATCATAAGTGTTCTTCCTTGATCTGCGAAACTCCGCAGCAGTCCGTAATGGACTGGCCTGAAGTCTCGATACAAGCAAACGGCTGCTGGAAGAGAGTAGGTGAGTTGTGTTTAGTCTCTTTGCTAAAGAAATTAGGCAAAGTTAAAAAGATGTTTAGTTGCTAGGACCCTATATGTTCTTTTACATACGCTAGTTGTCACTAAATACTACATACTGCACCTTAACTGCTTTTTCATTTTTTTGTTTAAAAGCAGGATGAAAACAGTAAGTCTTTAATGAAGGAGATGTATGTACAGAACTTTCTGGGTCTTATGAATATTATGAGCAGGATTTGAAGGTGTTGGTGGTTGGATTTTGTAGTTCTAATTTTTTTATTTTCTATGCAAAATTAAACTTCAATTTTTTACAAACATAGGCAGTTTATGAAAATATGGCATTGTACCTTTAATTTGTTGCTAAGGGATAGACAGGGATGCATGCAAAGTAAAAGACCATTTAATGTACAGAAGATAAACCACAGATAGATACTATTACTATAGGAATGAACAAAGAGGAGTGACTTTCTGCTGTGTGAACTGAGTGTTAAAAAGTGTGTTAGTAAATCAGGACATTTTTAAGAATTTCATTATGTTTAAGTTCAACATATTACATTGTGTTATAACCTAAAGGACAGAATAAGTAATGTGAATTCCTGCATCTGTTGTTGTTATGACTATGTGTGTATACAATGAATACCGGATATCAAATTGTGAAGTTGATCTTTTTATTTCGTACGAGTATAAATGTCGACCAGCTCAGAGAGAGCGCTTCAGCTAAAAATATATTTATAACTGCTGTAACAGGATCCATACCATGATTGAGGTGATATAGTCAAAGCAAAAAGGCAGTGAAAATAAATTATCTTATTAACATTAATAATTATAATAATAACAATAACAATAACTATAATAAACAGTGTCATCAAATTTGTTTTTGTTTGCTTGTTTCTTTGTGAAAATTTCATTAAAATTGTCCACAAAAAAAAAAAAAAAATCCAGCATATTTAATTTCTGAAGTGGTGAAAGGGGTTTCTCAGTCTAGGACATCCCCTTCAAGGGTCACATATTTACAGTATTCACAGTTTATATAAACCTTTTCGGCACATAATGAGCCATAATGAAGTGGCAGAACTACCAGGTGCAATGACATTTTTGTGTATACATGTGTGTGTCTGGCTGATGAGAAGGAGAATATGTCCCCTCGCCTTCCTCTGACTGAATAAGTACCAGTAGATAAAGAGTGAACAGGTCCTGTTCTCCCACAATGCATCTGTTCTCAATCAAGAGAAAGTTCCCCAACGTTCTCAGGTTTAAATAGTTTTCCTCTTCTTCAACCCATGGCCGTAACCATGTTGGAGTGGTGTGGATGCCCAAAAGACGGGTGTAGTGGGGTGGGCGTAGGGAGCATGTGTCCAGTGTGGCTGAATGGCGGCAAGTGGCTCATGGACATGTGTCCAGCCAGAGAGGCAGCGCTGAAGGGAGAGCTCTTGTCGTGAAAGCTCTTTGTGTATTCCTCATAGCTGTCGCTGCACCGCTTGTTCTTCTTAGATTTGTTAGACATTTTTCGGTTGCGTGTCTGTATTCCCTCCTTTTTCATCGTCAGTGGCCGGTTCACCTGTGGAGAGGAGAGGGACAGTAAAACAAATACATGAGATGCACATTAAAATTCATCACCTATTTTTGAGTTGTTTTAAGGTTGTTCGGTCTTTTAGGCAAAAGTCTAGTGATGTGTTGGTATATTTTTGTGGTTTTGATCTAATCCAAAAAAACAAAAAACCCAACTGCGTCAGTCATCCCGATTTCACACCTTCAATTTCAAGTCTGCCAATGTTCATATTTTAAAATCATTTAAAGTTGAAGCAGACTTAGCAAAAACTGTTTAAAATTTTCATTTGTCCGGGACTACTTTTTTGATGCAGATTAAAACGCATTGCTAAATGATGATTTGAACCAGTTTGAACCAGAAGTCTATTGATGAGAAAAATCCAACAATAAGTCTTTGGCTGAACCGCTGAACAGCAGATCTTGTCGACCAGACAGGTTCAATGATGTTTTTTTGTCTTGTCTTTGCTGACATTGAGAGAATACTGAATGTATCACTAGATTAACCCTTTAAAAGTTTACATCTGTGCTACCATAATCTGCTCCAGTGCCTCCACTTATTCGCAAGTGGACTGCTCTTGTTGCAGTCCCACAATCATGACTCTCAAGGGGATTATGCTTCCTATGGAAACAATAAGGCAAAGAAAGAAAACACCCAACAGTATCTCTCTCTCTCTCTCTCTCTCTCTCTCTCTCTCTCTCTCTCTCTCTCTCTCTCAACAATCTGTGTAACCTGCCTGGCTACACTTCCCATCTACTTGACCCCGTTGGCTTTGTGCAGACCCAGACTACTGATCAGCAGTTAAACACTTACATTATGCAGCTTGTAGTAGAGGCCGCAGGCGTTGCACACAGGGTCTCCGTTTGCATTACGCCTCCAGAGTGTGGTGGTAGTAGTCTGACAGTTAGCACAACAGGTGCCTGCTCGTCGGGCAGCAGACTGTGGAGAAATATGGATGGAGCTTTGATTAGAGACCAGGAAGAACAGCACAAGAAAGGTGACGAATCAAATTAGCAATACTTGTCAGTACTAATGATTTTTTTTCAACATGCAAAGAGATTAGAGTCAATAACCTAAGTAGGCCTATTTGTGAGTTTAAAAGGGTGATTTGGTGTGACAGAAGAAGCTGAGGATGGTACTTTTTTTGTATTTTTTGTTATAACATCACCCAGCTGATAACTTGGCAATCACTACTGTTGACTATAAATTTTCCTTGAAAAGAATCTTTTAAGTGCAGGCCAAGGAAACAAAGACTTTTTTGTGGGAGTCTCCTCTTCACCGTACAGACATCCGATTTTAAATGAAAGACCCAAATATAAAATCATACCAGGAGATTCATTTAATGCAGTGGTTCTCAACTGGTGGGTCTCGACCCAAAAGTGGGTCGTGGACACGTTCTGAATGGGTCACGAACAGCTAATCTAAAAAGTAAATATTGAGTGCGATATTCATTAGATATTTGATATTTTCTGTACAAGCAACTTCAGTAGTTGTCGTCCTCATGTTGTCCCCTTCATGTGCTCTGGAATACACCTTACTCAATAAAACAAGTGGATTTATGTTAAAGATTAGAGTCTTTACAGGTTTTTATTATGTAAAAAAAATTGTTTGGTTTGATTTCTATAAAAGTTGGTCACACTTAAGGACCATAGGAAAATAAGGGTCCCAGAGTGAGACCAGTTCAGAACCACTGATTTAATGAATTGCATTAAAACAATAAGAGTTTTCCAAAAGTAAAAATAGCTGCTGTCTCATTGCAGCATCCTTGTTGGTTGTAATAAGACTACTAATAGATAAACTTCCACCCAAAATGGTCTTATTAAGAAAAAATCTACATGCACATGTTGTTTTTTGTTTATTATTACTTCAAATGGCACCACTAAGCCCATATTTGTGGAGTTAGGTCATGTATCAGCTTCCAAAACTTTCCCTCGCCTGTTTTTTTTTTTTCTTTTTCACTCTGTACTTTCTCTGTCACGGACGGAGAGCTTGACCACTGTGGAGAAAGCGCAGAGCCTGTAGCGCGGAGGCCGCAGCAGGAAACAGGCGCTGGCCCCGCTGATATATCTGGACCGGTCACACATCCGGAGAGGAAACAAGTGGAAGCTGCTGCTTCTGAACACAGAGAGCTCCGGGTCCACCGAGCCGTACGGAAACCAGCCTGATATATGATTGAGTCAACCATCATGACATATAGGCGCTGGAATAAATGCTCGTATATTTTCTATGAGGTGGACAGACAGGTGTTTGTGGCGCAGATTTAGACCCGTTTGTGGCATCGGTGTGGACTCAAAAACAGCCCGAGTGCGCCAAGAATCGATGATTTAGCCATCTGAAGCGAGTTGTGCGAACAACTAACCGAAAGATTTGTTTTTATCGATTAGTCTTTGCGCTCCATAATACAGCCTCCCGCTGGACTTTCTACTTGTTAGGGGCGAGGTGGAGCGTTTTCTGCGCGTGCATGCTTTCATATTGATCTTTTTTTTATATATATTAAAAAAAAACACAGTTTTTACGTCCATTAATTATAGATTCGCGATGTCATCCACGCGCGTTTGTCCAGATTTGTTCCAAATCCCATTTCCAAAAGTGTCCATAAACTCTGAATACGACTGCACACTGAAGATGCACTTTTTGTTTATTTCACTGTCTTCAACACACAGTCCATGCAGCTGACAATCAGGTCTATTTAAAATCATTAAAGCTGCAAATAAAACGCTTGGACTTTAATTCAGGATTATGATTTGCTCGAGGAACATTTTTTTTTACAATGACAGACTCTAAAACTTACTAATTGGTCCTGTAATTTGTATTACTTTTAAGATTTGACAGGTTACTTGATGCTCATCTTTCAAGTATCTTATTAAGATTAAATTTAACATACCCAAACTTCCACCCCCCTTGGTTTTGCTTTGCTGAATCTGATCAGTCAGTCAGGTAATTACAGATTTGAAATGTTTAGTTAGATGAAAATGTCATGAAGTTTGGTCAGAGTTTCACATGTGAAATGTTTAAATGTGACCCTGAACTGTTCAAATGTGCCCTGTCCTTTTACACTCACTATCTGTCCTTTAGAAATGGTGAATCTCCAAAACACACTTTTAAAGAGTATTATAACTCTAGCTTTGGACGACACAAGCTCATATTATCTTATGGTTTTTTTAAAAGTTAATCATGAAAGACAGAAATGTTCACTTCCAAAAGAAAGGAAAACATAAAAAGATACCAAATTAAGGGGGAAACCCAGTCTTAAGACACCTATCATGATTGAACCAAAAACAGCAAAACCAAACTGAGATTAAAAAACTGAAAACTGCACAGTATAATTCATTTATGAGCCGTAAGCAGGAGCATGGTCTAGTGGTTGTTTAGAGGGATGGGGAGCTGGCTCTGCTATCAATGACAGTATCAGAAGCAGCAGTAATAATGATAACAGAAACAGCACAGATAGTCCCTCTGTGCGAACAGCCTCAGCTGAAAGAGTCAGAGGTGAGCCACAAACACAATTCCTGGAAACTGATAGGGAAAATATAACTTTCCTGCGATTGTAAACCTCCTCCCTCTCTCCCTCCACATTACACTCTTTATTTACTGCAGCCTCCTTGTATGCACACACACACTAAGACACACACAGACACGCAGATACACACAAGTTTAAATGAATGAGACTGACCAGCCTGCGTTTGGGTTTGATGAGTGGTCTGTTCTGGCCGTTCATCTTGTGGTACAGTCCACAGGCGTTGCACAGGTAATGTCCTGTACTGTCACGTCTCCACAGAGGGGTAGAGGTTGCTCCACAGTTCACACACTCGCGGCCCTCTGAGGAAGACAACACACATGTGAAATCTAAACATCACACATCAAATCTGATTTTGCTCAAACACAAACAATAGCATGGAGTTCTTTTACTTGACTGCACACTTTCAAAGTCATCTTTTTTGTATTCACACGAATTGCACCTTCAGTTCAGGATAAAGTAGGCTACATGTTGTTTTTAACTTTATGATTCACACACAGGCTCATTAAGAGACTCTTAAAGTTGCGCTTTGGCAAAAGTATTAAGATTCAAGTTGCCCTGTGTGAAAACATCAGTTTATACTATGAGAAAATAACCAGGTCAATTAAATACCGCATTACAAAAAATAAAGATCTGAATCCAAGAAAACAACTATGTGAAAACATTTGAGAATAAAGATCCTTTTTTCTTCTAATTTAACAATAACAATCTATGTTATAATTAAAACAGAGTCACAAGGATAAATGTTGCAGGAAATTAAAATATTAGCCCTGATTTAATGAAAACATGTTATTAACAGTGAGTTGATGTCAGCCAACTCTAGACACAGGTTCAACACAACCAAGCCTATACTGGCAGTCATACTCCTATCAAGAGAGAATCAGGACAGCGTGTTCACGTCTAAGAGTCCCAGCCTACGAGGTTTTGGCTCCATGCACTCCTGGATGATCTTTGCAAACCTTTGGGCTTGATCCGGTTAAGTCTAGTGTTATTACAGAGTCACACTCAATGACAGGAGCTGATCAACTCTGCTCTTTTGTTTCAGGGGGCTCAGATGTGGAAAAGCAATGACAAAAAGTATAGGCTAGTTTTTCTTATACAGCAACATTCTGTTTTTTCTAATATAATTACTCTGATATTTCAAAATTGTGACGGATTAAATAGCAGTGTGTACAACAAGCAGGTCATGTCAAGCAAAAATGTCAAAAGATTTCAATCTGGTGTTGTTTATCTGAAGGCGTATTTAATGGTTTGGCATACAGAAACTATTTGTTTAATAATATTAATAGTCTTTATATATTTCAATGGTAAATTGGCTTAATTCAAATAGTTAAAAAAAATTGGCTTGCCCATTTTTTTCAGTTCTGTCTCATTGAAATTTGTATAATGAGACTCTTATAAATAGATTACGACCGTGAACCATCCCAATCTTAAATGTTTGAGTTTGAGTCTGTGTTTGGATGTGAATGCACTCTTTAATAGGAATATTGACTCACTAGTGGCATTGGTGATAAATATTGCAGAAATATGCCATCTGAAAACTGTGCAGAACCACGCCCTAGGATGGAAAATTTAATAATCTCTACAAGACAGTGTTTACTACATTTAGAAATATCAAGACTCTTCCATTTCTTGAAAATACCTTTTGTTTTATAGGCTATAGATTTTGTAAAAAAAATAAAATAAAATTGGCGGACACGTTCAAAAGAGGACAAATTTATAGGGATTAAAGTTATAAATTTTTTAAACAATTCACATGTTATGGATTTGTGGATTAACCGGACTCTCTTTTCAGGACACTCACCGGTGCAGGACCGTGTCTTGCCCTTGTTCTTGGATGTGAAGCTCGGTGAACCTCCCGACAGGCTGCTGTGGTAAAACAAACTGCCGCCGTACTCGTGCGCCGCGGAGAAAGAGTAGGTGGGATATGTCGGTATAGGGTGGTGGGTGGAGGGGGTCTGAGCGCTCATGGAGGTCAGGCTACTCCTCAGAGGAGAGCCCTCCATCTTCATCCCCTCCGGTAACGACACCTGGTATTTGATAGATTCCTTCTCCTCCATCCTGCTGGCGGAGGGAGACATGGCCCCGGGGTCCGGTGATATGTCCTTTGGCGGTGTAGGCGGGAAAGTGTAAAGAGACGGACTGGAGTGGGACGGCGGTGTAAGCGAGGAGGCTGAGACCGTGTTTGAGGTGCTGCTGCAGGGGTACACTGCGGAGAGACCCCCGGGGGACGCAGAGCCTGGGTGATGCAGACTGGGTTTGCTGAAGGGGCTGACGGCCCAGGCGTTGTGGTGGTGGAGGCCTGACAGGGCTGCTTTCCCTCCGTCCAACCATGACATGCCCGGGCTGTGGAGGATGGGAGGCCGGCAGACCTGAGTGCCCGTGAGGCGAGCTGACAAAAAAAACACAGAAGCAAAAAAATATTAGGTACATAAATATTGGGCTCATAAAGCACTGAGTGAAGGTGACAAAAATAACAGACTTGTTGATTTATGGACACAGTTTCCTGATTTTAAATGTGTGCTCAAAGTCAGTTAAAATCACTGTACACTTTTTTTTCTTTACTTCCTTTTTTTTTTAATAGAAATAGACCTGGACCTAAAAAGAGTTCACGATTGCATGTATGCAAATGTGCCTTTTCCAGTTAGATCTTTTGATTTAAATTAAAAATATATGATCAAGAACCACAGAAAGGACAATTTCATCATCTAAACATGTTTTCACGATGGAAAATTATTTACATTTTGATTAAAACAATAGTCAAAAAGTGAAATAACCGTTATTCCCTTAAAACCTAAAACAAGAAGACATTTTCCCCTCATATATATTGTTAATATATGTTGATGTCGATTTGTGCCCTGTGTCAGGGTCTCTGTCTTACCGTGCGCCTGGCTGTAGGATACCCTGGTTCGTGGGGAGTTGTAGGAGTACGGGTTTCCCGAGTCCAGGTGATTAAAGAAAACATCCACCTCATCCGGAGGCAGCAGCTGCGCCGTGGGCTCCATGTAGTTGTGTCCCAGGCCGGGGTGGTGAGAGTCTGGGTGCTGTCCGTTCAGCACGGCGTGGTGGTGCATCCAGCGTGGCTGATCAGCCGCCACATCCATATCTGTGCGGGGCTCTCAAGGAATATCCAGCAGAAAACAACGACAACACAGGAGGAGTCTATAGCATGTGTCCTTTAGGAAAATATTCACTGTCTTTTCACAGCAGAGGGATGATGATGTTTCTCCCCCCCAAACTTAAGGTCCTCTCCTCTCATTGACATGAAGAAAAGCTTGACACCGGTGTCTGAAACAATAACAAAATATCGCATGTTAATTGGCTGTTTGAAAGACAGCAGTGTTTATTAGTATCTCTTATAAAAATGAAGGGATAGCCTCACACTACACCACACACACCTCTCTGCTCCTTCACTAACTTTCACTAAGGCTCGTTGCTTCATGTTTGACAAGAAACTAGTCATGTCATACCTTTTTCTCGTTGTTTTTCATCCACAATGAGGTCGCTCCTCTTTGTAAAACCGTCTCCTGTCTGTGTTTGCAGCAGCTGGTTCTTCCCCCTCAGTTTTCGGCTGCTGTTTGTCAGAGTAAACTCTGTCCACTGGGACTAAAAGCAACACGTATAAATGTGTGTGACAGCGCGGGGCCTGGCTTGTCAAGATGGTGGGCGGAGCCACGATCAAATCTGTGTCTCAGCCAATCAGAGAGCAGCTCTGTAGATCAGAGAGGAGGGTCATAGGAGCAGAAATCACCGAGATGTTTTTGTAGTATTCATATGATGGAGGGTCTGGACAGGCTGTTTGTAGAGGACAGGACTTTTTGTGACTTTGAAGATTTTTTTTTTTAATTCAATGTTTCAATTTAATCAATAACATTATTCCCTAATAGTCAAGATTGTGGCACAGCATATCACCTTTTGAACTTTAAAGGATGAATCATCATGTGTTCATTCTGGTTTGTCATTAAGGAAGTGAAGCACTTACAATAAATTTCTGCTCCTTTCTTCTACTAAATGGGTTTAACGTATAAATTCAAACTTTCAAGCTTGCAGCGGTGCCCTTTACGACAGTGGCTTTCAACTGGTCTCACTCTGGGACCCCTATTTTCTTATGGTCCTTAAGTCGCGACCCATTTTTATAGAATTCAAACCAAGCAAATTTATTTATTTTTTATCAGAAAAACCTTTAAAGACTCAAATCTTTAACATAAATGCACCCATTTTATTGAGTAAAGTGCATTTCAGAGCACAGGAACTGAGGACGACAACTGCTGAAGTTGCGTATACAGAAAATATCAGGACACATAATAAGGAACCTGAGGAGGACCACGACATAATGTGTACCTTTCAATATTTACTTTTTTGACCGGCTGTTCACGACCCATCCATAAGGTATCCGCGACCCACTCTTGGGGTCGGGACCCACTAGTTGAGAACCACTGCTTTACAGAAATAGTCAAATCTAAGAAATTTGATGTTTCCTTAATGAGTTTTTCAAACATGATAGGAGATGTATCCTGTTCAAACATGATTTGTTAAGGCTCATTTACAATAATCTTATTACAAGGAAGAATATCTGCTTTAAATGTAATGAGTGTATTTTTGATCTGAATCTGAATAGCAGTCTGTTAATTGTTAGTTGTTCAATACCTTAAATTTAGTAAGCATCTAAAGTCATGACTCCCCTCCCCCCTCTGTCTCTCTGACTCTAACGCATGATTGACAGACAATAATTGGAGAGGGAGCGCACGCAGCCCTGGCCGGCCGACTCTGCCGCCTGCTTGACGCCGCTTCCTGACGTCAGTGCATCTCAGAGAAGAAGGGGAAAAAAAGCAGAATCAGGACGTGAACTTTCAGGAGGACGAACGGGGGGAAGAAAAAAGGAAAACGGGGGTTGCCCCGTGTCTGCTGCTGCTGTCCCAGCGGATGAACTCGAGGAAGGACACTGCAACTGATATTTCTACTGTGCAATATTAATAATGCAGCAAGAACATCCTAGAGGCCCTGCTGTGATTTAAAGAAATCAGGTTAACAAGTACTGTGTGGAAAACCATCAACAAGTTTGGAGACTTTCTATTAGATCAGACCAGAAGATTAGATTAGACGGTATTGATTACAATAGATTAGATTAGTCTTTTCACAGGATCACTCGGCCATTTCAAATTGTAATCAAGCAAAGTTTGACTGGTTTACGTACGCGTGTTGATCCTAAAGAAAACCAACACAGTCATTTAGTCTGTCCAAGGAAAAAGTAAAAGATTGTATGAACTTCATGGACTGTGCTGCACTTTTACTAAAGCACGACATGACCGAGACGTTTGTCCATCAGGTCGAGACGGACTATTGCTCAGGTCCTGGCCAAGGTTTCTGCCAGTTAAAGGAAAGTTTTCGGGTCCTGTTGAGTAACTCCATAAAATCCTTTAAAAGAGTACAGAGTGGACATGTTTATATCACAAACTATCCGGCGATAACGTAATTTTTCTTTAACAAATAAAACTGATTGTAGTCTATAATTAAATCTTGGTAAAAGCAAAGATGGTCAAAAATGACGTGCGATATAGAGAAGAAGAAAACAATCAAAGCACCACGAGGCTTTTGACTTTGTGATAAACAGGAGTTTAATCTGATTTTTGATTTCCTGTAGCCTATTTCTTCAAGCAAAATGCATCTTAACTTGATCTTCCTGATCTGTTTGAATCAGTGTGTATCGAGTTGGCAGTGAGGCTGTGTTTTCTTACAAATTACAGAAGAACTACCGAATAAGACTTCAAACAAACAAAATCTGTAGGGGAGAGTGGGGTAAGTTGAGCCAAAGGGTAAGTTGAGCTACCCCCTGTTGCTTGGAAATGGTAAAAGAAATTGATCATGTGACCAAATAATTAGAAAATGGGCATCAATTCATGGAGTATGTGAAGGTTAGAAACACATGGGTTAAGCAGTGGCTCTCAACTAGTGGGTCCCGACCCAAGAGTGGGTCGCGGATACCTTATGGATGGGTCGTGAACAGCTGGTCAAAAAAGTAAATATTAAAAGGTACACATTATGTCATGGTCCTCCTCAGGTTCCTTATCAATGTGGCCTGAATGCAGTAAAAAATACATGTTTTATTTTGTGCAATTTGATTCGATATTTTCTGTATACGCAACTTCAGCAGTTGTCGTCCTCAGTTCTTGTGCTCTGAAATGCACTTTACTCAATAAAATGGGTGTATTTATGTTAAAGATTTGTGTCTTTAAAGGTTTTTCTAATACATAAAAAACATGCTTGGTTTAGCTTAGAGGACTAATAAAGTCATAATAGTAGTTCTGGGGTAAGTTGAGCCAGTGGTTCAACTGAGAAAGTAAAGGAGTCTGATGAGAGGATCAGAGTTTCAGTTCAGATTGTTGAAATGTGTTACTTTTTCTTTTCAAAAATACAGCTGTGAATGTTCTGAATCACTTAAAGACATTCTCATGTTAAAATGACTTTTTACAAAACAGCTTTTTAGCAGTTATATGCAATAATACTAAAAATAAGTATTGTACCTGCTGAATAGCGTATAATATATAAAAATACACATGAATGTGAAGAAGTGACTGTTATATAGGGAGAGAGAAGGTGAGGGAGGGCTGGGGTGGAGAGTGCGTGCATGTGTGTGTGTGTGTGTGTGTGGGGGGGGGGGGGGGATACGGCACTGAAGAACTGAGGACGACAACTGCTGAAGTTGAGTATACAGAAAATATCGAATCAAATTGCACAAAATAAAACATGTATTTTACCCCGCTCCTATGGTCATCTTACCCCATTACCGCATGACCATAGGAGACCACTTTTTTTGGCATGCTATATTATCAAGACAGTTATGTTTACACTCATTCTGTTGGTTTGCAGGGATACACAACATCTTGAAATATATGCTGATACACTAGTTAGAGACAAAACTATGATTGCCTTGATGTAGTGATCTGAAATATGAAAAATGGCTCATCTTACCCCACTCTCCCCTATCTATCTATCTATCTATCTATCTATCTATCTATCTATCTATCTATCTATCTATCTATCTATCTATCTATCTATCTATCTATCTATCTATCTATCTATCTATCTATCTATCCAGCTTTAGATAATTATTTATTAAATGTATACTCAACAACAGTCCTGTATCTAGTAGCCCTACATGATAAAAGAAAAATGTGTATGTGGAAGTCAATGTCATTCTTTCAAAAGGGAAACGCTTCTTTCAGACAGTATTAAAAAAAATCCTCCGTAAGTGAGGAGAGCTCAGCGTGTGCAGGGACAACTGCGTCAGTATTAGAGCTCATCAGCATGATAATGTGCAAATACACATGCTTTGAGTGTGAACCCTTTTGATCTGGCGTGCCGATAAAACCTTATCGGCGCAGAACATCCACTTCCATTTTAGGATTTGACATTAATTCAATCCGCTCTTTTTTTTACTGCTGCTTTTTTTTTTTTTCTCACACGAGCTCAAGTGAGTGAGGTCGCAGCTCCGACAATCTCATTATAGAGCTGCCATTGAAAGAGAAAAGTGGATTTACCTATTCTGATAATAATAAAGTGAAGTAAATAAAGGCTGATCAAACATTACAAGACCAAAAACTAGCCACACAGGAGTTTCTTATTTGATTATTCATAATTAGTTTAATATAACAATCTATCTATTTAAACTAAATTTGTCCATTTTCTCTTTTTTTCTCCAAATTTGGGTGTTGATTTACGCATCAAAATAATTGCTTGTCTCAGTCTCAGTTGTGCTTAGAAAAAAAAAAAGAAATCCAATGCTGCTGGATTCTTGGGTCCCTCTGATTATAAAAGCCATCCCGGGGTAATTTTTCATCGGTGCTGGCTAATCTTTGTTCTTTGTGCAGATAATAAATAGCCTAATCGTTATCAGCGAGCTGCTGGAGGTGTCGCGGAGAATGGGGGGCTGATCGGCCCGGGAAATAGGCTCCAAAGTGCCGCGGAATAAATGGCATTTCTTATCTCTCTCTCCCAGATTATCGCCGCCTTTTCAACACGCGCACAACAAATAGATCTAATGCAGGGGATGCATCATTTACTGGAGCAGATCTGTGCAAATGATAGATGGATAGGTAGAGGAACAGCAGGTCGTGTGGTATCGGCTATGTTATTATATATTGTTTAATATTGTGCATGTGCAGTCTTATTTAAACAGCATAAATCCAGATCCCCCCTCTTCAGTATTTTTGAGGTTATCTGCAGCAGCCATCAGAGGTTCCGGTTCTTTTGTGGTGGTATCTTATTTCTTTCATGTTGGCTTTTTTGCAGAAGAGTTAAACAGACGCAGCAGATTCATTCTAGGGAGGCTAAATAGATTTGAATAATGTTTTCATGTGGTGCAAATTTTTCAAAGCAATTGGGAGCAGGCGGTTTGAAGCCAGTGGTTCTGTTTATAAACAGATTTTGTAACCAGATTTAGTCGATATTTGAATCTCAAAAGCAGGAGTAATGTGAGATTGATTTTATGTTTGTTTTATAGCACGGTCTTTTTAGCATTACAGTACCCTGTGTTTATGTAAAAGCATTGTGCTCTGTAATGAATGACAACAATACAGATGGCTTAATGGGCCATGTCCAACAGTATCACTAATGTCCTTAACAC